AACCAGCTGCATTCTGCTCGCTTTTTGGTAAGACACCACCACTGAGGGTGCTTAGGACTGGGCAAGCAATGAAAAGCCCAGATGTGGTCGCTCCTCCCTCTACTGCCCCAATCATCATGGACAGTCAGTCCCATTCTTTTCCTAGATACAGCCTAGGGAATTTACCTCTCTTTGGAGTTTCCGCTTTTCTGCCTTAAGTTCATCTTCTATTTTTTCTGCATTTTCAGCAGCTGTTTTGTAACGTGATACTTGGCTCTCTAACCTTATTACCTAAAAGGGAGGGAAAAGCCATTGGTTTAAATTCTTGGAACTATTTCCTTTCTCCAATTGCTGTATTACATTTGAGATCAAAAGCTGTGATTTAATAAAATGGGAGAATATACACCATGCAGAGGTAATGATGCAACATTTTGGGTATTATTTAGGTTCGCGCTAACTACACTATCCGTTCGTATCTCTGAGTGACCCTGTTCTGATGGTGATAGAGGACTGTGTACCCTCTGGCCCCAGTGCACAGGGGGTGATCTCTCTTTGCCTCCATCGTCCCCCTCAAAGGGACTGTCCTGCTGGAGAGAGGTGTGTGGAGACAGACCTGTGCTTGCAAGACCTTGGCTGATTGGCTGATCTCCTAACAAGTTCCTGTCCTTCCTTAGCTGTATTTTTTTTTTTTTTAAGAAATACCATGAGCAACTTGCTGCCTTAATTTGGTCCCCTCAGAACTTTTTTGTTGTTGTTGTTTTAAAAATCTCTGCTGCTTTTATCCTCAGCCTTCAGGTATCATTTCTAGTTAACCACCAATCTAGCTGCCCATGACTGCTTAAGAGTGCACACGTACATTTTGTTCTAGTGCAGTAATCTCTTGCTCAGATTTTGCAAGTTTAAATTTGAGGTCGCTGATCTGTCTGTTGGCATCCCCTAAAGGGTAAGAGAAAAGGAAAGTGGGTTAAGCTCTCAGGTTTTGAAATGTGAAAACAATAGTTCCTGGGAATCAGGCCCTTACTTTATAATCATCTTGCAAGTCTGTAAGTCCTAGCCTGTGACTCCATAATTTGCCAGAGCCCAGAATCAGAGAAAGGGGCACTCTCCATGAGTCCAGGCTGGGAACCTGCCCGTGTGCCCTTGCCAGAAGCCAGGAGATCCCAGGGAGAGAGAGTGAACTCCTCTGAGCCAAGAAGACAAAGACACAGTGGGGTGGGGGAAGAGACAGAGAGACTGTGCCCAGTTTTATCTTCCTTCAGCCTATTTCTAGTTTATTGGCATAAAAAGGACCTCTCAGTTTTTCCATACATTCAGTAAAGTAAATGTGGCTTCCATCAGCGTTGCTCTGTGCTTTTGGGGATGCCTGCTCTATAGGTTCAGAGAAACTGCCTACTTGCCTTCCTTGCTCTGCCCACAAAAAAAAAAAAAGCCTTTGTGCTTTTAGATTCAGGGGCTTTGGGGGGGCCTTGAGGTAATGCTGGGCATTCCTTGTCATAACAGGTTAGAAATGGCACACATAAAAGTGTGTGCTTCGATACCAAAGTTAACATTACTTTGTAGATCCATGACATGAACGTCTGTCCCGTTTTCCAAGACCTCAGCTTCAGACCGCAGACCGTCTAGCTTGCCATTCTTCTGTCTTCCCTCCAGCTGCCCTTTCAGTTTTTTAATCTGAAAACACCACCCATAAGATATGTTAATTTCTCTTTTCTAAAGGAAACTGAAAAGCTGAATTTAGAGCTGGTCAGAAGGGAACCACTGGGCTGGTGAAGTGGCTTAAGTGGTAGAGCACCTGCCTAGCGAGTGTGAGGCCCTTAGTTCAAACCCACCATCAACCTAAAAAAGAAGGGAAGCAGCATGTAGGCCCTTGTCTCGGAGTTAGGGTGTCTCCAGGATGCCAGAAACGGGCATGACATGGTTAAGCAGAAGAGAAATGCACTAAGAGGTTCCAATCCGCCCATCGCTCCACCAGCCCGGGAGTATCTCCTCTGTAATAAAGACCAGCCCAAACTAATAAGAAACCTTCTTCTAATCAGAACTCTTCTCAGAAAGTAACAGGCAGTACAATGAATGAAAAACGAATTCCTTTGATAATATCAGGTATGAATTGTTTTGTAACTCTGGATGAAAAGTTATTTCTAAGGTTGAAATAAAATTCCTCTGGGACTCAGAAGGGACCTATAAATAAAATATTCAATGTTTATCTAACAAGTGGCAAGCTAGTGTGTTTCTAAGCCTTTATTCACAGAAAGGCCAGAATGGGCCACTTTTAGAGCCCTCTGGGTGCAGATGTATTGGAATTGAATCCCAGACAAAGCCACAAGCTTCTCAAAGAACCCAGTCAAGCTGCACGTTTGCTCAAGGTGCCTGTCACCCTTCAGGGAAGTGGACTCTGCACAGTCTTCTCTCAGAGACAGAGAAACACACACAGTGAAGGGCAGTTGACAGCCATGGTTACAGGATTTTCTGGTACCTACTGGTGAGTCTTCCTGGCTATCTGGGTTTTATTTCCAAGCTTTGAAGAGTCACCTGTTCCCCTCTAATTAAATACAAACCTTGGTGCATACTGCTTTAAAGAAATCACAGTAGAATATGTTTTTAGAATTGCACAGGACCTTTGAGCAACCCCTCCCACTGTATTTAATGCTTTATCCAATTCTAAAAGACTCTAACAGAATTGTAAAAAAGTAAGGCAAATTCATTTGATTATGAGGGAAAACTGAGGAGCTGAGAAAGTGGCTGTGGAATAATTTAATAACTATGCTGCATACAGAAAAGGTCAGATAGGACAGCTGTTCAGTGTTTCTTGGGGTCAGAAAAAGCAATGAAGATAGTCACAGTTTAAACAATTTTCATCAGCTATACAAAAAGACACCTGCTGGTTGCTGAGCGCTGAAACCCGACATGCATGCACAAGGGGAGGAGAGGCATGTGGAATGATGTGATCACATCCCTGCCGAGATAGTTAATCTCTGCGTTCCATAGCAACATCTATTTTCTTTTAAGCAGCAATTCCTGTAGATTGTACTAAATTCAGCTCCATGGCTTTGAGTCTTTTTTTTCCCTTTCCTGACAGTACTGGGGCGTAAACTCAGTTTCATGCTTGCTAGGCAGGTGCTGTACCACTTGAGCCACGCCTCCAGCCTGTGGCTTCGAGTCTTTGAAACATTCTCACTAAACCTCATATGACTTAGGATGTTTTATTTGGATATAATCATCAAGCCAGTATGGTTGGTTGGCTTGGTAATTATTTCCAGGCGTGACATTTTAGGGGTTTTCTACGTAAGCAAGAAGGAAGGATGGGAACATTCATGGTTTCAGGTGTCCTGTTCAAGAGCCCATAAGACAGCAAAAAGATTGTTACCTGTTCCAATAAGCATTCCCGCTCATCAACAAGCTTTTTCAACCTAATATCTGAAGAAATCAGAAAGACACAGGTTCAGGTGAATCTGTACAGTGCACCTTTTAGCATGTCGCTAACCACACGCTTGTTCAAGTTAGTGAAATGAGTAATGAAGATAGTTAAACACATACCACGATGAATGAGCCATGGACAGGGTGGGGAGGAACTCAGCCAAGGGGGTGGTACCAGCTCCCCGACATGCTTCTCGTCAGGACAGCCTCCGGCTCATGCAACAGGCTAATCTTCTACTTAGGTTAGCATGCAAGAACGCTAGGCAAACCACACTGCAACACAAGATCTCACAAGGCTTCATGTTTGACATCGTTAAAAAGTAATGCTGAAAATCACCATTCAAGAGCACCAGTGTTTCCAGTAGGTTTCCTTTCTGAGTTTATATCCCAATGGAAGGGGGTTATCTTCCTCATTCTCTCAAACTCACCAATGTCAGGGCTTTAAATATGTGTTTATGAATCACAAGCCCACTGACAATATATCCAGTAACCTGGTTCTGGGTTCTGTGATCCCTCCCACCCCAGGCACACAAGGATGTGTACCACAAAAGTGTCTGTAATTCCCCAAGCATCTCTCAAAGGGAGTGTGAACTACTCTAGTGTTCAGATCCACAGGGAGTTTACACCAGTTTAAGGGCAAAATCAGGATGGATGCTGATGGGCCTGCTGATGTACCCCCAGCGTGTGATACAGGCAGGCACGTTCGAGCAGCTTCAACGCCATCAGCTTGTGCCATCCTTTTTCAGGTAAGGCAGAGGCTCAGGAACTCATCAGATGACTTCCTGAGGTCTCACAACCCAGTCTTGGGGGTACCCCTGACTACTGCCCTCCATGGAGTTTCCAGGTCTAGACTCCCTCCCTTTGTGAGACCCAGACTCCTGGCCCAGTGCTCTTATTCTTGAGGGGACCCTACTCCCACACCAGCTGGCCCTAGATTTTTTCAGAAAGTAAAAAATGAACTTTGATTAGCCATGTGAAAAGAAAATATAAGATGAAACTTGTGTTCATTAAAAAAAATCAGCCACATTCTGCTTCAAGTTGCATGCTTTCTGAAACTGTTTTCCAAAGGCCCTAAGTTGTTCTTTTGATAGGCACAATGAAGCAAAATAAAAGACAGCAGAAAATCGTAAGCATAATATATGACAAATGAATTTTCTAATCTTTGGGAGTTCCATTTTAATTTACATACAGTTCCGTGGCTTTTATCAGATGTTTTGTTCTTTTCTTTCCATAAACCCACCCAACAGTGAAGCAATTTTTTTGCGTGTGATAAATCTAGCTCTTTTTTCTAAGATCTCATGTTTTATACTCCTACATACAAAACTACAGGTGTCAAAAGAAACTCTGACTACATCAGAAAACAATCTTGAAGCTCTATGTACCCTGTATTTACCTGGTAAGCAGCATTGCCCACCATTGGTCTAAACACCCAATTTAAAAACAGGCACAAAGTATTCATTTAAAAACAGTGGTTGTAATTTTTAGAAATTTGAAGCATAAAAAAAAATGAAGTCATATTGTCCTGAATTTAGGACTTTCTTTTATATTTGGGAGTTAAAATTAGGGCTATGAAAGGCATTTTAATGATACTGTGAAAGCACTACATTTTTAAAGAATATGGTTTTTACATAGTAAACTTCAGCAAACTTTCTGGTATGCATTGTAGAGACCCATAAGATGGGAAACAAAGAGGTAAGGCCTTCTAGAAGATTCCTAAAGTAGTCAAACGAGTACAGGGCCTCTCCAGGCCCCTGGACTCCTTGGTTAGTCTTGTGGTCTTAGTGCTCTTAGCCTGCCCTGGGGCAGCACAAGGTCAACCAGCAGCCACACAGCAGTCAGAAAGCACTGACTTTTTAAGCACTTTACCTAGATCTGACTCCCCACAGCTCTAAAAGGCACTCTGGTGTTAGGTGGCCTGTTCATAACCACACATTTGCAATGTGCATTTTGCATTATGTGGGCTAGTTTCAGATGACAGAGCAGTCAGGGTGGCAGATGCACCTAGCTATTCATGGCCCAAAGTCCTCTCATCCTTCTGCCCAGGAGAGTTGCCTCCTTCCTATGTGCAAACATAACGAAGGGGCTGGGGACTGTAAAAACGCCCTGATGGCCACTCTTCTTCTACCTCTCCTTACTGACTTGTCGGACTGAAATTAATCAGTCAACGCCCATCTTCCCTGAGGCCACCTCTTGTGGCAGGACCACCTTTCTGCAAGAGGCAGAACAGGGCAGCTGCCAAGTCTTTCTTCTGTTTACAGGGCCCAACGGGGTCTATACAGATGACAATATTTTCTTAAGCCAGCCACCAGCCATCAAAGCAGAGACGCTTGAAAGAAGGGCAGTAGATGGGGAGGACAGAGTGAAAGGACTTCCCTTCTGGAAGACACAGTGTTCTGTCTGTGGTCACACTTTCAGCACAGCAAACACCCTCCCTTCCCTTTAGAGGCCAGGACACTGGGTGTGCTCTCTTGACACAGAGGCCACTGTAGCATGCCTAGGACAGGAGCCCACTGGTGGAAAATGAGCCCAAACCATCTGGCCCCCTGAGAGAATGGAAATTTCAGTGTTCAGGTCACTTCTGTTAACTGGAATCACGAGTGTTAGAGGGAGTAGTCAATGCTGTACACCTAATTCCTAAAAACTACAAAATTTCAGTGTTTTCTGCCGTGTTATCTTTCCTATTTGCTACACATATCCAGAATAATACTTTTGAAGGAAGACTTACATTTACCTATGGTAGCTATGTTCTGGTTTGGGACCGAAAAATACTCAAGCTTTTAGATTTCAGGTATTGGTGGTGAACATTTTTCTCTCTCTGTTTCACTGTCCATGTTTCTTGGGATGTGATTGACAAGTAACCTAAATTATCTTATGTATTTCCATGCCTTCTTACACTGAATATACATACCTGAGTTAATCATTTGTTGATCATTTAAGGGTCTTTATTGTGACTGTAAATTACTGTGTGGGGCTATGATGTTCTCTCATGCAGAAACAGTCCACCTGCTGAGGGCTGTTTTTCTTCTTCAGTGTTGCACACTCCTGATTCTCAGCTGTGTGTTCCTCACTAGACTGGGTCCTGTCTGCTTGCTCTCTGGCACAGTGCCCTCTAATACATACCTAATTAAATAAATGATGGGTGAATAACTGACATGCTGGCTAAGTGAGTTGAGGGATGGAAGGTATGCCTGGTGTTGAAATGTGCTGTTGAAGAACATGGGAGGGAAAGGTACAAACTTAGAATGGTTCCATGATGTCACCATCCCATGACCTGGCTTGGGTTGTTGAATTGCTTCCCAAAGGCTTCAGGAAGCTGGACTGAAAGCTGGTTTCCAGTGTGCATTCCAGTGTGAATGTGGCCTGGCTAAAGCTAGAGTGACTGCTGCCCTTCACAGTCCTGCAGAGCTCAGGCTGCCATCTCCTGGCACAGGTAGGAGGACTTAGCACCCCACTGTCCTGTTCTTCAGAACATCAGGTACAGCAACATTTCCTTCACACTCCCCAAACTCTCTTGAGTATTGATATGTCTATGCAGAGCACCAGAATGGAGACTTTCCTCAACTGGGGTTCAACTGGGAGGCCCCCAGAACCAGGAGATGGTATGAGAGACCACTTCTCAGTCTTCAGCCCTAGCACCGGGCCAGCCACCAGAAAGGAGCCCACTAATCCCTGAGGAATGCATTAGAAGGAACTTTCCAGAATCCCGGCAAGAGTTCACAGCCAGAAGTGGGTGTGGCTTCAAGAGGGCACTGTGTGAACCAGCACCCAGGGTCAGAGGTCAAGAAGCCCAAAGACGGGAGCCATAGGCTTGTAAAATTATAAAATGTTTTTATTTCAATTACATAACACTTAGGTTTGCCTCAAATTTTACTGAGGTTTTGGTCTTTTTGCACTCGATTATATCTTGTAACAGTAGTATGAATTCACATCATCTTATAAGGTGTCAACAATACCATAACATACATTCCTTTGTGATTTTTTTTTATTTTATGACTACCTTTTCATTCAATTTTACAATTCTTTTTAAATGCTTCTTTATATAGAAAATATGTATTTCCTTCAGGTAGATCAAAACAAGGATTTTCTAGTAAGAATATATACTGAGGAACAACAAATAAAAATATTTATACCAAAATAACAAGAGTTATCAGTTCTTCACAATATCCTACGATAATCTAATGAGCAGTTTGCATGAGATAAGTAACCTTTTATATTTTCTTTGGAATAATGATTACACATTCAAACAGAAAGAGAAATAACTTTAAGGTTAAAAAATTTTTAATAACGGCACCTCCTAAATACTACAATAGGAGGTGCAATTTCAACATGTCACTTCCAGAAAAAAAATTTTAAAAAAAATCTTTGTATAAAATGAATTTGGTACATCATCAACAGGAAATCAGTCTTCTACAGAACAAGTTCTGGTACCATCAGCAATTAGGTCCAAGAGCACGGGTGTGAAACACGGTACTTCTGAGGTAACCACCGAGCCCTCCCTAGTGCTTCCTGACACTCATCTCTTCTCCCTAAAATGGGTATATTGTCCTAAGGTGCAAATCTCATCACTCAGTGACCTATATGCTATTTAGCTATTAATCTCCTTTAAATAAAATACCATCAGGTAAAATATATGCATTAAAATCAAAGATGGAAGTACATGTAGTTGATCGAGACAGTCATTTAAATATCCATTATATTCGTAAGACAGAAACCTAAGAATGCTATTTGGTCATTTCAATTAGATGCTGATATATTTGGTCAAGAGTATGCACACTCATATTGGCCTAAGGCAGACAGTTTTACTTTAGACTGAAATACGGACAGTACAGCTGTTCACCACTATGTGATGTACTGGAATGCTCTCAATTAGCACTTAAACTGAAAACAAATGTTTCTTGCTTTCTAATCTGGGTGATCACCTCACTGATTAAATACAAATCTGTAAGTAAAAGTCTATCACTTAAAGTAGTAGATAACCTGGTTGGTTGATTGTCATACAGTACACATATAGCATTTTAGGACATTCTGTGAACATCAGCAGTGAAAATGAAAGGTGAGAGTCTTTTACAATCAGACTTACTGTGTGGAGTCCTTGGCCCCTCTCTCGAACACCATCTTATACCTTGCCTGCCTGCTGTGCTCCCTGACTTATGACAGGGTACAGTCTTCTTTGCTCTTTCCCTTCTCATTTTCTCCTCTTGCATGTCCTTCGCTCTCTGAATTGAAGTCCCCTACCCTCCCTGTGGGTGCTGACAGGTCATCGTGTTCTGGACTGATGCTGTCTAACGCTTTCTGGGCTGTCTGACCTGGGTGTTTGGACAGCAGGTGCCTCTCTGCACTTTCTATCTGAGAGGCACCATTGATGTCCTGTGAGGGACTTTTACTTTCAAGCAGGGAACTGCTGTTCCCGTCTTCATTTTCAGGTTCTAGAGGACAGCTCTGAGCCATGCCATCAGCACAGACTTTTGTAACCTGCTCATCTAATTCTTTGTCGCTAGCACTAGTGCCTGACAAATGAACTGTATCATCTTCACAAGGCAATGTGTCTCCATCAGCTGTCACTTCCCCTTTCTTTCTGTTTACATCATCATCCTCTTGGTTCTGGGTTCCATCCAACTCGGTTTTAGGATTTTCTGAACAATCAACACATTCACTACTTCCTGCTATAATTTCCTGTTTTAGATTTTTGGTCACCTCATTTTGTGCTTCTGCTCCCTGTTTTTTGTCAGCAAGCTGTACCTGCCCTTCCTCCTCAGCTTCACCTGCATCTGTGCTCTGACATGTTAACTTGTTCTTAACATCTTTAAGGGGGGTTTCTACAGAGGCTGATGATTTTTTCTTCTTGTTTTTCTTCTTCTTGTTCTTTGTCTTCTTCTGTGAGGAATCCAGTGCCTCTGCCTGGTGGCTGTTCTTCTCTTCATCGAGTTCTTTCACATCAATCAGTTCACTTTCAGCATCTTCCTTGTTTGGACCTGTTGTTTCTTGGTGGCAGCTCTTGGCTGCTGGAGCTCCAGGAATGGTCTGGGTTTCTGCCTGAATTGGGTTCTCGCCCTCTTCTGCAGTGTTCTCCCTACCTACTGTGCTCTGAACTGTGGCTTCCTTGGGGAGTTCTCTCTCTGAGCTATGTCCTGTGCTGGGGTCCAACTCATCAACCACACATTTTCCATCAGGACTCACTGTGTCACCATTATGCTCTGGAGGATTTGAGACCACTGTGCTCACTGGCTCCCCAACTTCAGTTTCCCCTACATCTAACACATTCTCTGTGTGGTTTCCACCTGGCCCCCCAGAGTCTGTATTGTCAGCTTCAGTTATTAGCCCGGGAATAGACCCTTCACATGGTTTGGGGATAATCTCTTCCAAGTCTGTTTTCAAATTCTCTTGCTTTTCTTTCTCCTGACTTCTTACAGAGTTTTCGCTTTGGTTTTTGACATCCAAAGCATTACAGCTGTCCTGCCCATGCATGGGACCTGGCACTTCAGCGTCTACATCCCCCAGATACTCAGACTGCTCGGGGGAGGCTCCAGTCCTACTATCTGGCATGTCTCTGATCTTATTTGACTCAACCTGCTCTGGATTTTCAAGGCAAGAAGTGCTCTCTAGAATTTGGCTTTGAACCTGCTGCTCACATTCAGCACTTGCTAATGGTTCTGGGAATGGGGCACTGTGTTCAGCCTTTCCACCAGGATGCAACCCCTCTATGTCCACACACTCCTGTATCGTGTGCTCCTTGTGCTGTTCTTGCTCAGCATTCTGCAAGGTTTCTCTTTTCCCCACAGTCTCCACAATTTCATTTTTCACCTCCACTTCAGTGGCTCTTCCTAGAAGACCATTGAGAGAATTGAAGGGACCCCATGATGCGGTGACCACTTGATATATATTAAAATGTCAGCGTTTTAATGCCCACCCAGCCATGTTCCTATAGAAAGAGCATCACTAGAGAATCGTGAAACAGAAGCCTTTGCCAGTTCTGTGCGGCAAAGCAGCATTGCATTAGTATGTTTTCGATCAGCGAAGGCCACTGCCACCACCTCCAAGGCAAGAGCGGCTGCTAGTACCACCTGTGTGAGCTGATTTTTAAAGGTGAAGTTTTAACAAGGAGAAGGGGCTCTAGACCAGGCAGCCAAACGGTCCAATGGTGGGTCTCAGAATAGACTTCAGGTCCATGTTCCCACCCTCATCCCTAAGCACACATCTTTACCACTCATGCTTTCCAGGGGTCAAACTGCACTGAATGTCACACACTCTTAATGGTGGCTTTCAAATTTTTAAAAAAGAACATTCAACTCACTTTCAGAAGCTCAACCTCAAGGTCAATTTCAAGGAAAATGCCTTTCGAGTAGGTACTACATGGTGAAAAGAAATCTAGTTCCACCATCCAGGCACTATCTTCCTGACAAAGTGTTCTGTGTCTGCCCTGAACACCTTGACTCTGTTCCTTAGGGAGTGGGGAGAAAGTTCCAGCAGCAGGCAAGGCTGAAGAACAAGGTGACTGCTTAATTCAATAGTCAGCAGCTAAAAAGCATGGTCACTGCTTTGGAATGGACAGTTTTATTTAGAAACCTCAAAAAAAAACCCCAAAGCCCAGCGTGTTGGTACCATGGCACTCAAAGTACATCCCAGTGGTCTCCCCGGTAGGGTCTCTGACCCCACAAAAATGGGGGAAATATCAGGACTTCTATTTAGAGCTAGTCTACTTCACCCTATGCGAATTTTAACTATTGCATATATTGACCATGTGCATTTTATATTAATGAAGTAGTATACATACATAAATTTTGAAAATAGACACCCACATTGAGAAGTTCTCACAAGTCTTTATAGATGTAAAAGATGCTCAGAAAACCTTTGGAGACCACTTACAAAATTGGTATTCGTGGTTCTTTAAGTATCTCACAACGCTTAACATAGGTTTACGAATGTGTGTTTAGGCAGGAGCAGCGTGATCAATTTCCTGGCTGCTCAGCCACCTTTTAAAAAAGGCATGATGAAAATTAATTTATCTCTTTTAAGACAGCTTTTGCTCATTTACAAGAGCTGTGTTCCTTTAACAGCCATATGATAGTGAGGTATCTCCAAAGTCCTAAGAAGCTGGAGCTTACAGGTTTCTACATCTTCATAAGTAAAAGAATTAAGGTGTAGTTTTCTAGGTTGCAACTGAAAGTTGTGGTCCCTGGCCTTGTTCCAGCCTTCTGTAAAAGGCTGGGATGCACAGAGACAGATGAGGCCTTATGTGGGGGCCGTGTGCCAGAATCAGAGCAGTTTCCCAAGTCAAATGCCATGGCAAGTACTAACTGGTGACTCTTTCAGATGAATGAAAATTGTGTAAAATGTTCCTATGATCTATTGCATCCCCCCGTTTTATATTCTGGTAGAAGCAAAAACATGGCACATTGATGAGGTCTGTTTCTGACCAAGGTGGGCATGTTCTGCCTCCCATGGGTCTGTCACAGGCAGGCCCTCTACAGCACCGACCACACCCACTACCAAGGCTGCCTGTCCACCTAGGGGCAGCTTGAGAAGGCAACCATTTTGTGCTCAGTGTCTTGGGCTGTAAACAGGCACCTCCTGCTCTGAGAACACTGCGTGGAACACAGGGTGCGCAAGGCTGATGGGCAAATGTGGCCAGCTAAGCTACTCTGCAGCCTCTCCTGTGGCCATCTTTTGACAACTGTGTAACAGAATAAGTTAAAAGCCATACTTGGTACACAGCGGAAGAGAACCAAATAGTACTCTCAACACTGTCACTCAATTTGGACATGATTATTGTACTCCCAATCTCATTTGGTAGCTTGGAGAAGCAAAAGAAATGTGTACTTGAGCCATCGGTGGGAAGCACTAGACAGAGATGCATGCCGGATAGCATGTGTGGCGATCACACTGTTTGGCAGGAAAAGTTACCATGAAGTGACAGAACAAATGGCATGCTGTGTGGCTGTTAATTGATGAGTGATGATTTGATTCTGATAACACATGGACAGTGGATTGATGCTGATCAGAACTGTGAAGGGATCCAAAGGAAAACAAATGCTTACCTAGTGTCCCATCCCCGGCTGACTTGACAGCATTGAACTCTTCTTCCGTCATCTTGGTGGGGTCTGGGTACTCAACATTATTTAGTGTGTCTGAGGTCTCTCCATTGGTAGCTATTTCTGAATTCAGGACTATTCCATGTTTCTGCAAACAAAAACAGGCTTACCAGAATATTCGGCAGTATCAGGTTAAACTCTGCTTTGTTAATAATTATAAAAAGGAAGCTGTTTCTCCTGAAGTAGAGGGTAACTCTACAGGGACAGGGAATAGCGCCAGTCTCATAAATATTCTAGCAACACATGTAGATCTGTGGTGGCTTCCTTAAAGACTACTTTCTTATTTGTTCCACTCCATGGCAAGAGACTTTCAACAGGCATGTACTGGGGTGATGGCCTGTGGGCTACCACAAAGTGCAGCACCAAGCAGATTGCTGTGAGGAAAATAACTGTAAAACACTGGCTGCAGCCAGTTATGGTGTTGCACACCTCTAATCCCAGCACTTGGGAAGTAGAGCTATTTATATGGCAAGACCATGTCTCAAAAACAAAACAAAAAAGCAAAGCAAATTAAAAAAAACAAAAAACAAAAAACCCTGGCTGCATTCTTTAAAAAGGGAGACAGAGATAAAGAATAGAATATGCATGTGCTCTGCAAGAAATGAACAAAATGTTAAAGAATTACATTAAAATGTGGCTAGAATGCTTAGTATAGCCAAAAGAATCATTCACTCTTAGGACAGGCCAAACACTTGAAAAACAGTGTATGCCACAGCTGCATGGCATAGCTCCAGGGTTCCTGCTTGCTGTTCCCCTCTGCTGTCTACCACTCTTACTCTGGCGCAAGAGTGACTCCCAGACACTGCACTGCCTGAACAGTCCCAGCAAAGACGTCATTCTGCATCTCAGCTCTTCACCTGTGCCCTGTGGCTCTACTGCTCTGGCTTTGACCTGGGGATTCAGGAGTAGCCAAGCCCCATCTGCACTATCCTTGCAGCGCTGAGCTCACCCAGGGATGCCTGTTAGGTTGTCACTGTGTGTATCCAGCAGCTGCAGACCCCTCCACATGGCTCCCTCTTTATGACCTAGCAGCCCTCAAGGTCGACTGGCCTCACCTTTACCACTTACACCAGACAATGTTCAGTTGGTGAAGTTCTTGGACATAAAGCTTTAATACAAGGAAAGAAATATGTTCTCTAACTCTGAGTAACGCCCTGGAGGACTACCAATGAGCAGGAGAAAAACCTTAGACAAATGTCAAAAAATCAGCTGCTTTCAAGATCAGCTCTGCTTGTAAACTCAAATGGTCCTGGGCATAATGCCACATCTGCACTCACTCCACACACTTGACCGGTGCCAGTTAACCCAGGAATGGAATTCATTAGCACAACACCAGCACCCACATAGTCACAGAACCCCAGCATTTGCTGCTGTCACCTACGTATACTTTTAAAAAACTGAACTTGGGCTTCATACCTTTAATTCCTCCTTTAGCTTGACTATTTCTTCTCTGAGATCATCCCGTTCACTCCTTATGGAATCAAAGAACTCTTTCTGCCTCTCTAATGCCTGAGTGTGCAGTGGAGGGAAGAGAAAGAAGATGGCACAGACAGACAGTTTACTCAGGAGCAGGAACAAGAAGGAGTGGACTCGAGACAAAATGCAAACAGCAAGCCCAAGCGAGAGCCAGCATTTCAGCCGGTTGTAATACTGCCGTTTCATGCTCCTTGGGAGGCAGCAGTGGCTTAAAGCACACAGTGCAGGGGAGGAGGCTAGGTTATCGCATCATTTTCTAGCTTAGTTTGCATTTCACAGCACTGTGTTGGAGAGTTAACAGGAGTGACTAGTCATTTAAATGAGGGATAAATAAAGAACAAGAAGGAATGCTGAAGAACCCCATTTTTTTATCACTTTAGACTGTGTTTCCACATTGATTGATTACAGCCTTGTTGTCGTGGATAAAGTAGTTTGAGTGGGTGTGTTTATACACTCTCTCTCAGCCAAGTGCTGGGGAGTACGGCAAAGTGGAGCTATGGCGTAGCTTCACACCGTGAGTGTCTGTGACATGGTCGCACACCTCAGACCTTTCTTGGGGCTGTCACATGAGCCACTGCTGTTTGGAAATCATCTGTCACTGAGAATTATCTGTGACTTGGTGGGGTCCCTTTCTTCCAGCTGTCACTCCCGACCATGAATAGATTGCCTCTTCTCTGCTTATCGAGGGAGGGGGTCTGTGGAGGGCTTCCCTCAAGAGATTTCAAAGTTGGGGGCAAAGCCCTCAAACCCACAGCTTCCTCAAACCACTCTGAGGAAAAAAACTCTAGGCAATATGAGAGCAGGGAATTCTGAGGAGTTTGAGCCTCCACACACAGAGCTTCCCAGTCTCCTCACCGCACCCTAGGCCCTCACAGTGCTGGCAGGGAGAAGGGATCTGGGTAAGTTGTGCATTCACTATGTTACTGATTTCGTGCCAGCGGGTTGCATGCATACCCATCCCAGCAAATCACAGGTCTGCATCTCTCAGCAGCTTGCCAGTTTGAATACATTTGCAAAGATCTGAGAATCCTACCCCTATCTTTTTGTCTTTCCACTCTATTGTTTCCTGAAGGTCAGAAATCTCCCTGATATAACTCGCTTGTTTCTGCTGTAGCTGTCGGATTTCCTGAGGAAGGAACAGATAGAAAGAAAGCAGATAAAGGATTAAGCAGGAAGAAAATGCCCACTCCTAGGTGACTGGAGAGCTGGGACAGTGAACAGTCAACGGCACTGTTTTACCACATCCCCTGAATTCATCAGCAGTCTAGGATTTTTTCATTGTCCTACTCTAGCTCTAGGAAGAAAACCTGCTTGGATGAAACTCTGACCTAAGTAGTCAGTTCAAGCACTGAATAAGTTAAAAAATGAGAAAACCAACTCTGTACAGTCATGCTTCACTTAACAACAGGAAGACAGTCTGGGAAATGTGTTCGGTGATTTTGTCATTGTGCAGACATAACAGAGTACTCAGCAGACAAGATGGGCACAATGTCATTAGTTGATATAATCTTATGGGACCCCCAGCATCATATACGTGGTCCACTGCTCATCAAAATTTTGTGTGGCACACGACTGTATTAGTTTCCTATTGCCATTATCACAAGTTGCCACAACTTCAAGGCTTGAAACAACATAAATTTATTCTCTTACAGTTCTGGAGAGCAGATGTTTGAAATGACTTATTGGCTAATGTCAGGGTATGGGTAGGCCTGTGTTCTTTTCTGGGGACTCTAGAGGAGAATCAGTTTCCTTGCTGTTTCCAGCTTTTGAAATTCACCTACATTCCTTGGCTTGTGACTCCTTCCTCACATCACTTCACACCTTGCTTCCGTTATCACATCTCCTGCTTCTGCCTTTGGCCTCTCTTCTACTCATAAGGACTCTTGTGATTGCATCAGCCCCACTCAGCTAACCTAGGATAATCTTCCCTCTCAAGGTCTTTAATAACATTGGCAAAATCTCTTCCGCCATGAATAACAACATAGTTACAATTTCCAGGGATTAGGATGTACATTATTTTTGGTGGGGGGCGGGGAGGGGGCCCGCGGCATTCTATCACACCTCCCCAAAAAAACAAATCCTCACACACAGACCATAAAGGAAAAGAATCTTCACCAATGACAGGAATAATTTCCTTAAGCAAGGCATGGAAAGTTACCTAAATTCTGAATTTTAAGAAAGTGGTAACTTTAGCAATTGCTAAATTACTAACTTGTGTCCCTACAAATTTATATGCTGAAGCACTGACATCCAAGATAACTGTATTTGGAGATAAGGTCTTCAGGAGGTAATTAACAACAGGGGTGGGGCCCTGACCAGACAGGATGAGTGTCCTTATAAAAAGCTGCTCTTGGGCTGTGATGTAGCACAGTTGTAGAGTGCTTGCCTAGCATTCACAGGCCCTGAGTTTGATCTCCAGCACCAAAAAAAAAAAAAAGTTCGCTACTTCTCTGCCTTACAGGGACACAGCAGGAAGCTGACCCTCTTCAGGTCAGGAAGGGAGGCTTCCTGAGTTCTGGGCTCCAGAACTAGGAGGAAATAAATATCTGTTGTTGAAGCCACCCATTGGTACTCTGTCATGGTAGCTAAAGCAGTTACAAACCCACACAATGCTCCAAAGCCCAAGAAGAAAAAGAAAGGCGCAAGTTACCCACCTCGAGCATTTCTTCTCTTTGCTTTAGAGCCTCTTTCACTTCAGCAAACTGGAATTGCAGGATGCTGTGGGCATGCTTTTCACGCTCGAACTCCTACAGAGGAGGTGAACTTTTCTGTCATTCTGCTTCAATTCTTACGAATCACATTTCCCTCAGGACAAATAACCCATTTCTACGCCATTGCCATTTCCAAGGCAAACACCCCACAAATCCCTTTTTCCAGCCTTGGGAGAAGATGCCCGATGATGTCCTATAAAATGGACCCCTCTTCAGGGCATCTGCTGTGGTCCTCAGGGTTGTGCTGACAGTAGGGATGGGGCAGCCCTGCAAAGAACTATGATAAAACTACCCCAACTTGAAATACAACAAGGAACGCTCTGGGACAAAAGGATATTAATATGGCCTGCTTTGGCACACATCTCTCATTAGTGGTGGGTGGCCAGCTCTACTCAAGGGCTGTCACTCAAGGCACAGAGCAGGGGCTGGTGGAGTGGCTCAAATGGTAGAGTGCCTGCCTAGCAAGCACAAGGTCTTGAGTTCAAGCCCCAGTACTGCAAAAAAATAAATAAAAGGTGGGGGAACAAAACAGGAAAAGGTGGGGGCAGTAAGCACAGAGGTTACAGCAGAGCCATCCCCACCCCCATGGCCCAGTCTCACCTCTGTGGCACTTGCTCCAGAGATGTACCTAAGTAGCTTTTCTGTCTGACACTCAAGTCACAGTAGCACCATCCCTATTGATGGTTTGGTACTCACTACCTGACAACAGGTAGTGAGTCCTGTTAGGTGGGCCCTTTAAAGAGAAGGGATTTCACCCTGGCTTCTGCTCACCCTAGCATTGTCTGCTTACTCACTTTCTTTAGCCTGAGTGGCTGGCTCCTTTCTGCCTGTGACAAGGACCTTCCTGTGTGCTTTGCTTAGTCCTCACCCCTACTTGGGAGCACATGCCAGTAGCACTCAGTTTCTCTGGAGTGACATGGAGCTCTCAGGCCACTTAATCAGGTCCAAAGGTGAGCAAAGCTTACTCTGTTTTTCTCTTCATACTGCCGCTGAGACTCGGCCAGCTGCTCCTCGAGCTCCAGCAGCATGTCTTTCAAGGTGTCCACCTGGTACATGAAGTTGGTCTTCTCATTGTCCAGCTGAGCATTGGAAACCATGGCCTTCTTATACTTCTCTTCAACCTCTGCTAGTGAGTCCTGCAGAAACCATTGCAAGTGATAAGAAAAGCAAACAAGCATGTACTTGGTATTCCTTTAAAAACAGCCTTAGATGTAGACTTTATTTCTTAGAGCAAATGAATCACAGGGAGTAGCTTGTGGCAATTCCAAATGCACAGAATCCCCCTTTTGATTTCTGATTGCTCACACAAGTGGGTCTCAACTATCTTGAGGTAAAAGCAATTTCTGCCAGGACAAGAGGCACATAGGACACAAGGGTTGGTCAGGGAGGCAGCAGAGTTGCTGACTCCCATAATTCAGCAGCCAGTCTTCCCACCATGGTGACAAAACTGCTCAGTAGGTTTCTGAAGTAATCATTCAAGATATGTGGCCAGCACTTGGGAAAGAGCCAGGACCTGAGGCTCAATAAGCCTCTGTCACAAGTGAGCACAGACCATCCCTGTCTGGCTCAGGAACCAGGAAAGGTTTAATGGTAATTTCAGATTTTTGACCCACCGGAAAAATAAACAAGGTACACATGTCTTACCAAGAAGGTCCTGGAGAGATCGAGGTTATTGCTTTGAAGGAAAGGCCCGAGAAAGAGGACAGCAAGATAAACATGGGTGCCCTCATGTGGCTCACACCCTTGCAGATCCCAAAACACTAACAAGGGGAAGGCAGAGCCAGGAGAACAGAAAGGGCAGAGTTAGAGCTACAAACTACCCAAACCGAGTAAGAGGCGTGAGCCACGTGGCCTGGATCATCAGGCACTGTGCGGAGGCCTCAGGGAGACACACTGGGTGTGCTCTGTACTTCCAAACCATGGCAAGAATTTTCGATGGGACCAGTGATTTCTGGTTGGTTCAGTGGCTCTCTTTTTATATGAGTCAAAAGCCAGTCTTAATTTTTTTTCCCTTTAAATGGTGGTGACATTTATAAGAATGATGAATTAGTCATGTGACTTCTGTCACCTCCTCTGCTTGGTGCCCATTGACAATGGGTTTAGACTATTTCTTGGGTACTTTATGGGGAGATGAGAGGGAAGTAATACATTTACCACCTTTTGCTTGAGCTGCCTGGTAGATCTAGTTGTCATGTTTCTTGACAACTACCTCCTTATGGCAGCTTCACCATAAGGAATAGGGATAGGGCGACTAAGTTTCCCTTTGGTACAGTGAAGTGACTGCACATTCTGAAAGGAGAGTCCATCTACACAAATAAAGCCAGGATAACACACGTTCAGATGCTGCTTCCATTAGAAACACTTGACAGCATGCAAAGAATCTAGACGTCTCAAAAGCATGCATGTTAGGAAAGCCCGACTGGTAGTCAGCAGGAAGTCTGGGAAGCAAATCAAGTGCAGTATGTTTGTATGTGACGACTACAGAGAGTGAAGAGAACCAAAAACCACATGTCTGGTGCATCTACAAATGAAAGACTTGCTTTCAGCCTGGGGAGGGCAGTGAGCACTAGGTACCTGTCTGAGGACATGTTAGTGACCTTTCCTACTAGAGTCACAACTCTCCCACCTTGGTTCAGAAACTACATTTGGGGAAGACAGCCATGCCAGCATCTTCCACTCTGTGCTCTGCAGATCTGGGCCTCTCCGGGGCAAAGATGCACCCAGGACCTCTGTGGGACTTGTTAATGATGAGGTGGGTTAGTATCACAGGCCACACTTTTGCAAACTGATACCTTCATCTCTTTCAATCCCTGCATGTATTTGCCTTCTACATCCTGAATCTGGTCCTTTAACTCATTGAGTTCCTGGGGGAAATGGCACAAAAGGCAGATGATGTGAAGGGAAAGAACTAACAGGGATCACACACACCTAAACCTTTTATACTTCTGGGTCATTTCTGCTGGGAAGCCTTTTTAAATTTCTTTCTTTTTTTTTTTTTTTTTAAGACAGGGTCTCACTTTGTAGCTCAGGCTTCCTGAATGCTGGGATTATAGCTGTGCCACTCATGCCTGGTGTATTGCATAGATTTTTATACAATTTTACAAAATTTAGGTGTATCTTGTATGATTTTATAAAGTTGAAAAAAAAATGAAACAGGCAGAAGACTTCTGAAAGTGGCACTTGAGGCTGGGGGTGGAGGCTGGCACGCCTCTGTTCCTGCACTCATGGAGCCCCAAGTCTTCACTCTGTCGTTCTCAACACCAAATTCCTGGAGCAGTGTCCTGGTGCCTGAGGCAGTGTCCAGCACTTTGCTGGGCACATGCGTGGTGCTCACATCTCCCAGCAGGCACTGAGTAGGATGGAATGAACTCTGCTTTCAGGCCATGGAGAGGTCCACCAAGTGCTACAGGAGTGCTGAAGTCAGGGTCTAGCATGTGGCAACTTAGAGACAGCAGTCAAAAGTCACTCTTCTGGTTTCACACACTCAGAAGACATAGGAATTACTTCTTCACAGTAACTGAGTCTAGTCTCCAGGGAAGGCTTAGGTCCCTTCTCCGTCTTCCCAGGCAAATGTCATCCAGCTGTTCAGACACCACGGGTGGGAGGTGGGAGTGGCTTCCTCATGAACCAGTTTTAAGGATTAGAAAGTTCTTCCACAAAAGCTGCCAAATTGGACTCCTTTACACTGTCTCTGTCTTAGCTCTTCCCACTGAAGGCACAAAGTGCTAGTTGCCTAACCTAACCTTCCCTTTTCAGTTACCTGAACAAACAGTACTGCCTTGGGTTTTTTCCTCTCACACAGACAATGTTACCGAGCACCAGCACCATCCTTTGTGACAAGAACATAACAGAATGTAGGGGGGGAACTCATTAAAGTATAGTGATGAGGTCCACCGAAAGTATTTTACAAACAGATAAGAAAGGGTACATTCTAGGCAAGGAAAAGGTTACTTGAGGACCAGTGCCTGGCATGGTCCTGGACCAGTAAGTGATCCTGTGTCAAAAACACTCCAAAAACGTACACTGAGTGATATACACACTAGGACAGAGATGGCCAGCCACCTCAACACGTGACGAGTGCTCGCCACAGAGAGGAAGGCTCAAGGTCTGCCCTCCTGGGATGGGGGCAGCTCAGGTGGCTTTCTGCAGGCAATGCTCTAGGGTCATGAGAACACCATGTTTTAGTGAAGGCAGGGAAGAGAGGACCAAGAAGAAAGATCTAAACTCGAAAGACTGATGTTCACAAAAGTTCTCTCAAATCACAAGTGAGTAGCTGGCTCACCTTAATTTCCCTAATGGATGTCTCGGTGTCCAAGGAGACGGAGGTATCTCCGCTTCCTCTCCGGGAGGAAGTCCCACCCAGAGAGGCCAGCGTAGCTGCAGACAAGCTGGGCATGTTACGAGTCCCCTGGAAAGTGGAGGATCAAATGTGAATTTGAACAAATCCCTAATCAGTGTCATGTGCAGTGGCTTTTCTTTAATTCAGCTTTCACACTGAGAGTTGCCCACAGGCTATGGTGCGCAACAAGACAGGTTCACTTTGATGTGCCCCACGGATGCTTTGGGGTCTGTCTGGATTAACCATAAGCTCTGTGTCAGGCCTTCACTGGCCTACAGGATTTAACACACACTGGCCATGACTCTGGGGGACCCCTTAGGGGATAAGAGACTATCCTGGCTGGTCACTTAACAGTCTCACTCCCTCAGTAGTGAACACCTTTATCAAACACCAAGCAACGTGTTTTCCTTCACCTGTAATTTGGGGACCCTCTAGGTTAATGAACAAGCCCTAAGATGGAGGTTTAAAAAAATGCCTTACCTTCTCAGTAAAATCTTTTTCTGGTCTCTCTTCAACCTGTAGAGGAAATGGCAAATATTAAATACTTCAAAGCTCTGAATGGATAATATCAATTTATGAGGTAAGATAATTTTAAAAAATACAAAACATCAGCTTCCTCTGTAATTTAAAAACTGGAAAGTGAGATGCTAAGAATCTGGCTTTTCCCATCTTTCCTTTGTGACCCTCTCCTTTGCTCAGGTACAGCCTCAGGGAGACTCAGACCGGCCCACGGAGCTACAAGAAAGTACATGCTGGCCTCAGTCTCCAAGGGGGATCGTGGGAGGCAAGGGTGTCTCAGGAACGGAGGTGAGGCTGGCGTGGGGCTACTTCCTTTTTGCTCAGCATCCAACAAGAGACCAAGTTCCTTTCTGCATGCTGTGTGTGTGTGTAGGGGGGGCTACACAGCTGCGATTGTCTCCAGGCTCTCTGGAGAGCTAGCTGTCAACAATCTTGGTTTTTCCCTCAGTCTCCAACACTTCTTCCTGCAGCTCAGAAGTTAACTTGGGCCACCAAAGCATCAGTTGAGAATGTGTGGCAAATGCAGATCCCAGCTCTCCTCAGCAGACCTGACAGTAGCCTGGATGCCACAGGCATTTACACAGCTGCAGTGTCAGAAAGTAGGGTGGACTGAGCTCTGCCTGAGCCCTGACTCATCAAGTAGGTACAGGGAGACCAACAGCCACTCAGCAGGTCACAGGTCCACACAGATGCACAAGACAGCCATCAACAAATGACAGCTTTCTGTCTGTGCCCACCCTGAGTCCTTGCTGGGCCAGAAACCAAGCCTTATGCCATCCTGTTCCCCTCCAAGAAGGTTCACTAATTGCCACCTTTCCACCTCCAAACTCCTGGAACATCTAACTTTCTCTCCAAGGACAAAACACCTGAAATGGCCACTAAAACAACACAGCAGAGTCATGGCTCATCAAATAGAAGCACACCAAACACTCCATCAGCACAAAAGTGGGCAAATTCTGAAATCAGTTCTCAGTCAGCGAGCTCCAGGGTCTCCTGCTCTTGCCCCTAGGGTCTTACCCACCCATCCTGCACTTGGGCTTTTAGCATGAACTCACTGCTCATCCAACTACCCTTGTTAAACTCTAAGAGCAGAACAGGAAATAAGAGGGAAGAGGCTACATCCCTCCGGCCAGTAGGCTGGACCAATGGCAGGCTGACCTCTAACCCCAGCTTGTTAAATTGTTAAATAAGCCCCTGAGGCAGGAGCGAGGAGGGGCTTCCATTCTGGTGTTCCCTCTGCCTAGAACATCTCTTTTCCACTTGGCCACAGTGGCTGCCCTCCAATGACTATCCTGAGTCTTACCTGCATGTGACTCTCCTCCCTGATGTCCCTTCTTATTCCTTGATGCCTGCACTTAGACCTGGAAGACCATGTCACCTGCCATTGGCTGGTGTGTTTTTAGCATGTGTGGAAACACGCACCTAGAATTCTTATTTTTCAGATGTGCATGCCACACTGGCCTGGCTACACATTTGGGTGCTAAGGCAGGTGCTAATTAAAAGGCTCTAGCCCACTGTCTCAGAGCCAGAGAGCTCTGCTCAACGTTTGGAGTTTAAGGATGAGTTTAGCATTTCAAGCGTGGCTCTTCTCTCCTTTGGGAATAAAAATATTTCTGGTATATTACTCAAATTGGACACTGAGGCAGGAGGATCACCAGTTTGAGGCCAGCCTGGTCTACACAGTGATACCCTGCATCTAAATACCAAAGCCAACACCATCCCCACAAAAAATGAAATCCGCTAACTGGGGAAAAGCAAAGTCTCTAGTGCCTGCTTTGCTGGGGAATCAACTCATTTCTCAGAATGAGTCAGTTTGCAGAGCAAAGATCAGTGGAATGAAAAGAACGAGGGTAACTGTTGACAGGATGCAAAGGGCCAGCTTCTTTTTCTTTTTGGTGCTAGGGATCCAACCCAAAGACCTGGACAGTGCTAGACAAGTGGTCTGCCCCTGAGCCCCAGGCTCAGCGCCAGTCCCAGCCCCAAAGGCCAGCTTACCTGATTGGCCTTTGTTAGCAGTGAGAAGCCTTGCTGCTTCCTGACTCCATGGTTTAACAACACATTTTCTAATGTCAGTCAGCAATGAATAACCATTGTGTATAAAACGATGTTCACCTACAAAGATATCTGTGCCCAAAGAAGAAGGGCTCACCCAAGTTGGGTTCTGTGTTTGTTTTTTAGAATTTCTTCAAGGAAAATGAAAAAGCACAACAGCAGATCACTAGGCATTGCTTTATTGGTGGGGGTGAGGCATGGGGCGGGGGGCTTTGTTCTGCACTGCATCACTTGTTACTGTGTGCATATACATTGCATACAGCAAATTGAGAAGGAAGAAAAAAACCCTAAAACGATAGCTTGCTCTTTCTGTAGTTAAAAAAGTCTTTGCTCTAAAGTGCATAATGGATGCAGAAGAGTTGGGGTATGGTTTTCAGTGGAGATTAAAAATTAAAAATTTAGCTCTCAATGAGAGATACAGCAAATGTATGCTTAACTAACCTCTTTAAAATATTGCAGTAAACTCCTGTTTTGTTTGCTTTCCAAATTAAAAGGGACACCTATTTGTCAGTGTTCCTGAAACAAGAAGTTTGTGGAGCCCAGTGAGACATGACACAGGCCCACACAGCCGTCATGCCTGCCGCTCCCACTAGATGGCAGCTTAGGCAGGTCTGCCTGGGGTCAGACAGCTGCACCCTTGGTATAGGCCCCAGACACAAAGGACAGATAAGCCAGATGGTGTGTTTAATTTTGACATAGAGCACACCCACTTATCTCTGGACATAACACACTAGGAAACTGAACAGATGACAGGGTTTATACACATCGTCACGGTTGTTGTATGAGCTGGTGTGAGGACTGCCATGGAAGCAAAGCCACCAGAGATGAACACCGAGCACAGGGGGACTCCAGGGCTGTTACTGGCCACAGGTGGCAAAAAGATGAAGTCCAGTGGGACAAGACACTGGACTTCAAAAATGTTGGCCTCCCCCTTGATGGAAAGGGGGAGAATGACACGTATCCAAAGCCAATTATTGTCATTGCCTCCGTTTTCTGAGCACTGCCCAGCATTTAGGTCAATGTGAAAACTTTATACTAACAGGTTTACAGATGGTGTGGTCTAGTCTTTCATAACAACCATTGAGTGTGTGTGAAGACATCTTTTCCAATCTACTGGAAGAAGTTACTTCTACTGGAAGTTTAGTTTATTATAACTCTTCCTTTCAAAAACAAATACTTTAAAGTAGCACATACAATGTTTTATTAATTCTCCCCTTCTAACATAACTAGGTGGGTTTATTACATAGGTATGTACACATACCGAGGTTTGAGATATGAGGTTTTCCCCATTGCTATCAGCTGGCCGACCTGCCAAGAGACAGGGGTGCCTGTCCACAAACAGAGATCCTATGGGGAGCCAGCTACAGACAAAACCTTTCCTCTTTCCCAGTGGTGCCCCAAATCCCAGCCAGGCCACACCCAGCTCTGGAAGGGAAACAGGCTCCCCAAAGAAATGCCATGGCAATGTCCCTCGCAAACAGCAAGTGACAACACAAAGACTGCTCAGGAAATACCCATTTTAAGGGTAATTTTCCTTCAAATTTAAACAACAGTGGTATCTCAGTAGGACAGGAGTTTGGGGGTTGATTTCCAATAATATTTGCACAATCCCGAAAGATTCATCCTTGAATTCTTGTACTCATGGTTCCAGACCCATTTTCTTCCTGATCTCTGCACTGCCTCTTTGTGTGACATTGAACATGAGTCACTGTTTTCTAGTTCAAATGAACACAGATCCTTAGCTCATCGCTTCTGTTTTCTCTGAATACATCAGGTGACATGAGTCTGGGCTCCACTCAGGACATTCCTGATGGATAATTCAGAAACATGGAGGCTTTGCTGGATTCCAGTGGGACTGTGAGGCCTGGATGACACAGGCATGCTGGGTCACCTGGCAGAGTTGCTCTGTTGGGTGTGGTTCAAGCATGGACCTATAAATTTCTAGATTCTACCTCTCTTCAAGCACCTGTGCCCCCTCCCAGTTTGTGCTGCTGAGGTTTATGTTTTTTTGACAGGCATCTTCTGCCCTGGTCTGTGCATCCTGTAAGGGTAGGGATGGGTCACACTGTACCCTGTGCTGGAATATTCTGCATGCTCAATAAACACTGAATGAGTGGACCATTGCTCCTTCAAGGAGATCTGGACATGGTGGAGAGTAAGAAAACACCTACAGGGTGAGATGAGGTAAGGGCAGTATTATATGGGCCTCTGAGGTGGTGCCAAGGAATCTCTGCTTTCCCAAGCACTATAACCTGGGAGCCCCAAGGGCTGGAGCAAGCTTGGTCTTGACTCTGGATGTGGTCTTTGAGCACTGAGGTACTTGCATTTTCTTAAGAGCAAGACAAGCAATCATTTCCTTCATTCTGGTTACTTTTGCTCTTAGGTCACACTGCTCTCTTCCCCACCCATGGGCACGGTCTTGCTTCCTGTCTGAGGGTGTGACACCAGCTGGGCTGGGCATCTGTAGACTGCTACAGCTATGGCCAGGACAACTCCAGTCAAACAGAAACAAATGAACTATGTCTTTTGGGGGAGGAGGGGCTCTGTTTTTAAGGATGTCGGTATTTTTTTCCAGCTGCAGTTCAAGAAGCTTATGTGCCTGGCCAGATGTCCTAAGCAAGGGAATGAGAGCGGTGGCACTTGAACTGGGTCCTGTAAGTCTGCCCCAGAGTACTTCCTGTTCCATGTTCCTCCCACAGAGGCCAGATTGGAGGGTCACTGACCTTTGCCTTGTCCCTCTCTGGGCATTGCCCCTGACCTACTGCACCTCCCACTTAGGCAGGAGGCCTGGGGAGTCCGAGCACAGCCTTCTGGGCTTCTTCCCACCAACAAGGCCAAACAGACCCACTGATGCTTTCTGTCTGCCTAGCCCAAATGCAAGCCTATCCCTTCCTGTGTTGTAACAGCCCAAGGACACAGGAAACATACATGTGCTAATCTGGCGTAAGAGGAGCAAATGTCGTGGGAAGGATGGAAGATGGCTTGGTTCTGTCTTCTGAGGCCTCTTCCAATACCACAATGTTCTGGTTTTACTCTCTATCCTCAGGGCAAGCAAGGACTACTGTAACCAGGTGCCCAAGGGAATGCCCTGCACTGCACAGAGGTGTCTCTGTGGTTCTTAGAGCCACACACAGGCGGTTCCATCAGCTTTGAGGTCCCTGACCAATATGAAGTGCCAGGATGAGGTGGCAGGACAGCTCCATCCCTTACATGCTGTGGGATTCTAACCTTTGCTCACTAAACGGAGTCAAGAGACAGACAGCATGACAATCAACTGGCCTTTGGGCAAAGAACAGTTTACTCAGGAAGAAAAAAAAATGCACTGATTATGTCTGTCATGAATGGGAAAAGCAGCACTGGAGAAGGCCCTGATATCCTTTACCTATCACCCACCTATTACTTCTTCCCTCACAATGGCACAAGGAAAAGTGTGGTCCCTCCCACCTCTGGGAGAGGGATGGGGCTCCAGGTCTGGGCATCCATGGGCCTGGTACCTGCCAACTTCCAGTCACAAAGAGATCACCCCCTCTCCTCATAGGCCCTGCCTGGGGACCTCCAGGATGTCAGGGGACCAAATACCAAACCCATTTTATGTGAGTAAACTGTCCACAAATTTGGGAAGCATATGACAGCTTGCATTGGATTCAGTCTTTTCAAACTGACTATTCTGTGCTGTTACTTTGTGACCTCAGCACAACGCTTGAGTAAACCCAGAGACAATCTCTAATGATGTCAGATTACCAGGACTTTCAGTTCTACACGTCACTCGAACCACACCAGACAAGAGGTGCTGGGCATGTTCACAGCTTTGAAAGCAAAGCCGCAGCTTCTTCCGCCAATTGCAAATACTTATTTTTTCTCCAAAAAGGGAGTGGGTAAGAGAGTTATGCATGAGAAAAAGTGATTCTACCATAAATTTATTATGGAAAAATTGTTCCCTATAGTTTGAAAGTTTTCTATACATTAGTTAACTTACATTATGCTACCATAGAGCATGAGGTACACAACGTGGTGAGGTGAACTTAAAGGAAGACACCACGAAGGCCAGCCAGACTCATGTGGACTGACCACAGTGACTAGGAATTCCTTAGCTCTCAAAGATTGCCCTGCGGGTATCTGCATAATAACGCAAAAAGCACTGTGCCAGAATTTAAAAGGAAAGCTGTATGACGTTAAGCAGTGGAAGAGCTCGTCCTCACTGCTGGGTCGGTTTTGGGAGTGCAGGACATTCCAGCTTGCCTGGGGTCTGGACAGGCCTGACTTGTTCATGCGTGAGGCTTCTCTCATTACTGCTGGTCTCCACAACTAGAGCAGGACAGGGGCAAACTCATGCCTGTGAGGCCAGGCGGGCAGGGCTCTGGTGATGGCACAGGGTATCAGAAGCTCACATGGGGACGATCTCCATTCTCACAAAGATGTGGCCCTTACACGCCAATGCTCGCCCCTCTCGAGCTCTCAGCCTTGCCCTCCATGCGGAGGACACAGCCTCTGGGGTAGGAAACCATGACGCCAGCCAGTGATGAACAGGGCTGCAAGGCACTCCAGCCAGGGCTGGCCCGACGTCTCCTTTCCTCATGTCCCTCAGCCAAAACTGCTCAGAGAATGATAAAGTAGTCTAAACAAAGCCTCAGACCAGGTAGAGCTGTCTAAGATCTGGGAAAAACACGTGACGACACCTACAGGAGGAGGCTTTCCTGAAGCAAGGCCTGGCTTGGGCTGAGGTCACACACTCTACATGGCTTGAGAGCCATGGGACAGTGGATGTGTGCAGCAGAACTCAGGGTGTCATGGCATTTACAGGCCTGCACTTTATAAAAACAAAACAAAACAAAAACCTGTCCGGGTCTGAAACCCACTAACATTTCACAGGAAACATCAAAAATCAATCCTTCAAAACTTTAAATCATAAACAGCACATCTGTACACATTTTGCCTCCCGTGGGATGAGTTTCTCCCTTTATGACCCCTTCTCTAAGCACTGCCCATGGCTTCTTTTATGGTCCTTGAGAAACTGAGCAATGCAGACCTGACATCACCCAACAGTCATGTTCTAAGTTTGGAACCATTTTCCCCAATCCTATTTTTACTTAGACCTGAAATAAAACATGGAAAGGCCTCTGACTTCAACCTATGCTGGCTTTTGAAGACGGGGTCACTTTTAAAGGACAGAAGGGCACGACAGAGGGCAGGAGGAGCAGGAAGGAAGGAGGCCAAGAGCAGCAGGGCTGGAGGCCAACTTACCACTGGGCTGGCCCGCGCCGAGCTGGCCCTGGAGGAGGCGCGAGAGCTGGAGTTGAGGTGGCCGCTGTACTCCGAGGGCTGCCCACATGGGCGCCACAGGACACGCAGACAGAAACAAAGAAACAGAGTCAGCAAAGAAGCAAGAAGAATGGAGGCCAAGCAAAAGTGCACTTCAGTTAGTCCCACAGGTTAGCCACACGCATGGCAGAGAGGAAAAGGGGTCCGGGTTAAGGAGCAAACTCACTTGGGAAGGAAACTCATGTCAGATAAATGCCCACTAAGAGTGAAGAAGAGCTAATTGCAGTATCCAAATGACAGAGTCCTTCGAGTCAGTAAGAAGAAAACAACACAAGCACTGTGAGCTTGAGTGTGTAGTCACACCTGGTGACACAAAACTACCCCCCGGATGGGGGAACTACTCTCTGTGAGGACTTCAGCCACCTTCCAGCTTGTGAGCTGAAGGTTTGCACAGGGCGTGTAGAAGCAAAAAGAGATTTAGGGTGGATTCAGAATTCTGCATGACTTTAAATGCTAGGCTACTTTCCCTCTGGCTATTTGTCCATCTAAGCTTTCTCACTTCTGTGAAGGAAAATACCAGCAACCAAATTGTCTGGAAGCTGCACTCTTAACTTTGCTTGGTGTTAGTCTTTTTCTAGTCTTAGACACATTTTCATGTTATATAAAAAAAATTCCTTATTTTTCTTTTCAACAAGGCAGGCTGTGGACACCACTTAGCGTCACAAGAACCAATAGCTCTTGAAGTGTCCCAGGAGCACTGAGGAATACCCTCGGGAGAGACCCACACAGGCTTCTCCACCACTGAAGGCCACTCACTACCCTTTAGCCCCAGTCACCTGCATTGTGCAGTTGCCTGACCATTGTTTCCAGTGGGAGACCTGCAGGCGTTGTCCTTGTTGCAAATTATAAGGAGCCTGAGATCTTCAGTTTGTGTCCCCACCAGGAGGTAGCCCCCTGTGGACAGGGTCTGTGTCTATTTTATTCCTGGATGAATGTCCGGTGAGCAGATGAGGACTGGTTCACTCAAAAGAAATACTTGAATGAATGAGTGATTTCAATTTTTTACCGGAAATGCTAATGAAAAGAACCCTGTATATCTATAATTATGTCTTCAGTGGATAAAACCACATTTTACCCTTGTGCTTTGGTGTGGGCATTCAGAGGCAGGAGCACTACTGCTGTGTGAGTGCCTATGTGAGAGCAGGGCCTTAGATGGCACAGACAAGCGGTTTGCTTGAACTTCCAGCTTCAAAATAAAGGACAGCACTTCACATCAGCACTTTGAGGCAGAGGATTGTGGCCTCTGGAGCTACTGACACAAGGGAGAAGGAACTTCCCTTCTTTAGACAGATCCTACCCCATTCTATGCCATCCCCACCCTGGCTCATGATGCAGACACAGGGACCATTGCTCCCATTGCTTGCCATTGGCCCAAGCCTCCCAGTCGGAACAGTGCTCAGACCAGTCGCCCTGACTTGACTCTGAAGAAGAGAACAAGCCTGTGTCCCCAGGCCCCCTGTGCTATCTCATGTTGGTAATGTAAGTCAGAAAGCTCTGAGTTCCAATCACACCTGCATCTCTTGTTGGCTGTGTGACCATCTGTGACATAAAGGACTACACAGGGGTGCCTGAAGTGAGGACACCAGTGGTGCCTGTCTCTCCTCTCACTTCCTGCTGTAAACAGCCTTCTGGGCTCCCAGCTCTGATGACCCCATGGGTGGTGACTGCTTCCTGGCGCGTCAACATGACTGGGAAGGTCACTTCACACACAGCCATCAGCCCTCCCTCAGGGACTGTGAGGAGGCAGCTGCAAGTCCTCCAAAGTGGGACCAGGACTGTCCTATGCAAGCCTGGGGTCAGCCTGGGCCCTGAGGTCACAGCAATCCTCGGGCCAGGTCCTCTCCGGACTCTGTCCCAGTATGGTGGACAAGATGCCTGAGCTGCAGCTCCTCACAACACAGGCTCATGTGTCAGGTCCAAGCACAGCCTGGACACAGAGCCAGGGAGGTGCCCTCCTGAGGCACAGCCCACATGTAAACACTTGGTGGCCACAGGGGTGCTGGGAGGTCTGGGGGGACACAAGAGAGGTGGGGGAGTCCCTGATACTCCTCTGGGTGGGTGCAGTGCTGGGCACCAGATTCCAGGGACAGGGGCCCACTGCAGGAATTTGTGCTCAGACAAGATGGCCTTTTGTTTCCTTAACTCTACCACAGCCATCCCAGGCAGGTGGTGGGGGTCCAGAATGGGTCACGATCTGGGGCCAGCTATCAAGTAACAATGCACCTCAGAAGCACCAGAAGAAGAACATCTACAAGCGCCAGACAGACAGACCTTAGAAGTTCTCCTTAGACCACAGGAAAACCAAGTTCTTGGGGAAGCTTTGCTCTCTAAGGAATCCCTGAGCCCTTCTGCTCTCTAGGTATGGTCTCTGAGCTTTCTAATGGCCTACGAAAGTGCCTAAGAACTGGGGAAATGTCTCATATGGTATGTCACACAATACAAAACTTGACCAATGCTTTGTTAGATGTCAACAAAAACTAATGTGTGCCAGCTAAGTATTAGATTTACTGTTCATAAAATTACATTTTAAAGAGAATGTCCGTGATGGCTGGAGAAGGAGCATAGTAAATCCTAAAACTGGATTTACCCAATTAAGTAGGTAGCTGGTTAATGTCAAAAGCAAAATTATACAGCCATTTCAAGCATCTCCTGGTAAGCCATCATATTCCATGGGGAGCCTGGGTGCATCGTTAGGGGTTGTGGAGAGCCCTGAGGGCAGGCGTGCCCGTCCACACTGGAGAGCACTGGTCACTCAGGACTGTAGGCCTGAGCTCAGCAAACAGGCTTTTCTACCTCCATGGACTCATCTCACTCTTCACCCTTCCCATTCATCCACTGACAGACATTTATTACATTGCTATGACCCCTCTACTGTCATGGAGGAGTCTGTCATCTCAAATCCTTTGAAAGGGTGGAAAAGCCACAAATAGAAAAAAAGAAGTGAACTGTGTAATAACATGCATCTTCCTCAGCTGTGCAGATGTAAAACTAATTTGTGATCTGTTGGGTTCCTTTTTTTCTCCTTATATTATTATAAAACCACCTGACTACCTGTTAGCACTGCTAACAAGGAAGAGGGCACATGGAACTCACCTGAGGTTAGTCTCCCTTCAACCTCAGTGAAAACTGATGAGTGGGGCTGTTAAACTACCAACCAAAGGTTTTTGCAATTCCATTATCCACAACCTTTATGACAATGGAAAACTAAGACAAGACAGTGTTTCCTCCCTATGATGGTCAGATCAGTCATCACCCGCGGCGGGAACCACACCTGCAAACACCCCCAGGGTCGTGCATCAGACAGGGAAGGGAAGCAGGGAACACGGGTTGTGCCTTACAGCATGGGAACCGCAGGCACTGCCCCTCCGAGCCCCACCAACGCTGCTCTCACTGTACACAGATGCCTGCGACAGAAACAGACCGTCAGGACCAGCCTCCCTTTCTTGTTCCAGGAATACACTGAAAATGTAAGCTCAGGAAGAGTGAGTCGTGGCAAGGACTTGTCCTGAAAAACACCAAGCAAGCTCAACGCCATCTCCTCCAGCTCGGTCTCAGAGAGCTGTGGGGCAGAGCAAGAAGAAGCGTGAAGAAATCCAAAGAAAGAGAAGTTCAAATTGCTGACAATTAGCGTGCAGTTTAACCTCCAAAGAGCACTTTGGGCTAGTATTTTGAAAACCATTCCATGCTAAGGAAAAACTTGTGCATCTAGATTTAAAGCCAGCAGATAATTCAGACATCCTGAGTCGTGTCAAGGCACTCTCGTGGTGGTTAAAAATCACTGTACGTGCAGTGACTTTGGAGTAAAATACGAAGTTATGTTAGTTACAGTTTTAATGCTGAATGCCGTGTAACTCTTTAAAAGTTGCTCAGTAGAAAACAGTATTTGATTATCTTGAAAATCCTATGCAATTAACCATAGAGACAAGAGCTTACACACCACATGGTAACATCAAACTTTGTCCAGTTTAGTGGACATACTGCCTCGATATATATCTAAGTCATAAGGGTGCAATCTGATGGAGACTCAGAAAGTTGTTAACAGTAGTTACTTTGAATACTTGGTTTCCTGCACAGCATAAGTACCTGCGTTTTAGAAAGGGAATTTCCCAAAGTAAAAGCTAACATGGAAATTTCCACAGTAACACGGTAATATGGATTAGCACCTGCTAAGGCTGCCAAAGCATTAACGCCATCTTTCTTTCTGGCAATAGGTAAAGTAGATGTCCTGCTGCTCCATTCCTGCTGGTCCTATACAAATCCGAGCCTACCAGAGGTGGTGCAGGGGACCGTGTTTTCAGCACTTGGGAGACGCAACCCAGATCTGGCCCAAGGGGCCAGATACCACCAGCATGTGTAAGCTCCCGTGAAGGTGCCATTCGGCCAGCAGGGTAGGCATGCACAGTGGGTGGGGTGCACACGCACCGGGTAACTCCCCGCAGGCCGGGCAGCACTGTACAGACAGGAAGGCTGGAGAATGAAAGCAAATAGCAAGTTTTAAAGCCTTGCAAAACCAGCAACAGGTAATAGTGAATACAGCTATCAGGATGGCTTCAGTGTTGCTACAGCTGAGTTACTGTACAATGGCCAGAAGAAAGGAAACTGGCAGAGGCAACTGGATCAATGGGAATCCAAAATTTGTAAGAAAGATAAATGTGAGATAGTTTTTAACTTTAAAATTGTAAACTTTCCCAACATCTCTGAAAGAAGACTGTTTTCTAGTCATTCTTTTCAGGAAGTCCTGGAAGAAAGAGTGGGGGAATAAGAAAACTGTATCAAGGTCAAAAACATCAACAGTAGTAGCAGAGCTAGGTTAACAGCCACCCAGGGGTACTTTGTACAGTCGGCCCTCTGTTCCTCAGGGATCTGAACCCGCACTCAACCAAGGAGTGAAACTGCTTGAAAAAAACACTCATCTGTACTGTGTACAGACTTCTCCCTGCATTATATCTCCTAGGCAGCCCAGCATAACAGTCATTTACATAGCATTTACATTTCATTAGCTATTCTAAGTAATCTAGAGGTAGTTTACAGTACGAATGAGGATGTACAGAGGCTATATACAAATACCACACCATTTTATATGGCAGACTTGATGGGGCACACCTGTCATCCCAAGGGGGTCTGAAGCCAATCCCCCTTGGATACCGAGAGCCGACTGTACATAAATTTCCACACGTGCAGAGAGCAACAGAATAACATGTTTGTTTTCTATCTGAGGATCACAGCGAGTCTTCAAGACAATGGAAGGGAGGTGAAGGCTGCTTCTCTGGCCAGGGCTGGCACTTCCAGAAGGCCAACCCTGTCCAATGGGAATCCACGCCTAGAACACGTGTCAGGGTAATGCAGGGACGTGAGAGGACATGCTGAACACAGAGGCAGCTCCCGGGATCTGAAGACTTAGCTACTGGGCACAGTTGTGACTCATGTGGTCCATAGCACAGGGCACGTGGAGTGAGCCACCCAGGCAGTGGGTCACTCAGTGGCTGGAGGCTGCTTGCTGGGGAGACAATCCATCTTCAGAATATGAAGCACACTTGGACTTCTGACACTGACTTCCTTGTGCTGGTCTAGGGCTCATACACCTACAGCCACAAAGGTCAAGCACGGGGTGGGAGGGGGGCCTGGACCAGCCTTGTGAAAACAGGAAACGGAGAAACAATGCCATCTGTCTACCTCTCTAAGACGAAGGAATCAAGAGTGGGCACAGAAACCTTCCAAATGCTTCCTGGATACATTTACAAAAGAAATATTAAAACTCCAAATGGGGGAACAATTGCTGGAAACAGACAGACTCCAGAGACCAATTTTCTAGACTTGCTTTTTGTTTTCTGGTGGTGCAGAGGGTTCAACTCAGAGCATTACACTGGGCAAGCGCTGTACCACCTCAACCACACACCCTCAGCTCTTTTTTTTTTTTTTGCTTTAGTTATTTTCTAGGTAGGGTCTTGTGTGTTTTGCCTGGAGCCAGCCGCTGCCTGCAGTCTTCCTATCTACTGCTCCCGTAACTGAGATGACAGGCATGCACCACCCGCCCAGCTTTTATTGATTAACACGAGGTCTCACTGACTTTGCCCAAACTGCCTCAAACTGCGATCTTCCTGCTCTCACCTCCCAAGTAGCTAGGACTGTAGATGTGGGCCTGTCGTGCCTGGTCAAGTTTTTGAAAGTACACATTTAATAGAAGTCTATTTTTTATATATGTTCCTAAATTACTTTAGAAACCTTTTAAAAAAAATTGAGAAAGTCTTGGCAAACTAGTCATGCAATAAAAACACCCATTGAACTTTGTCCTGCTGACTTCACTTTGAGGAGGTTGATCAGCAGTTAAAGCACAGAGGAAAAAGGAGAAGAGGAGACCCCGTTTCCGTTCTGAGACAGGGCTTTGGGAGCAAGGCCACTATGGCAGAGGTGGGAGAGGAGAGGCCTCAGCAGGAGCATCCCTGTAATCAGAGAAACGATCAAAGGGAGGGGAGAGGGAGAAACCTGCACTGTGAACTCAGCCTGATCGACCTCTGGAAACCAGCACATGCAGGGGGCTGAGGGGCAGAAGGAAAGAGAGCCGGTTAGCCAGATGACTCGCGCCTGAGACTGAATTAGGACTTTGGCGTGTACACACACAGAAAACAAAAGATTTCATCTGAATTGATAACACCATCATAGAGGGTTTTGCTTTGCAATTTGAGTTCTGATACTTAAAATTTTGTGGGAAAAACTCCAAATCAGGAATTTGCAGGGACCACAGCTTCTATTGATAGAATAAACTATTTCCTTGGGGATGGCCTCCACCTGGTCCCTTTGTTGGTCATTTACATAATGAGAATACATTTAGGACACACAGTAGACATGGCAACAGAATGGAGCAATGCTGGGGCCATGACCATGCAAACTAACGGCTTCCCTGGACAAAACAATTTATTCAAATGAAAGGGTCCCAGAACCAGTTGCTTCCGACATCTGTGCTAGCAGTATTCCACCACCACACAAAAGGAGGACAATCCTGGAGACGAGTGGCTCCACCACCCCTTCAGGTCCGGTGACTTGTGCCCTTTGTCCCTATGCCTCCCAAAGCCACGGCAAAATGACCCCAGGGAGAGGCAAATGGAATTCTGGGGTACATGGAGAGTGACTTTCAACATTCCAAACTAATACTGGAGCTTGTTCCAGTAGTCAGAGAGATGAGCCCATCGAAGCCACCTGGTCAGCCCTTCTGGGGACACAGCACGCAGACTCATGTGGCCATGTGGGAGGAAGCATCTACAACCCCCACCCAGAGCTGTATCGCTAGGTCCAGGGTCTGCTTCTGACAGGTCCAAGACCTGAAAAGTGATGCTGAAGAGTCACAAATACTACGTCCTATGTTGATACCCTTCTATTATTTGTTTATTTGGTAGTTCTGGGGTTTGAACCCAGGGCCTCATGCTTGCTAGGCAGGCATGCTACTGCTTGAGCCACACCGCTAGCCCTTTTTCTCTGGTTATTTTGGAGATTTGGTTCTGTTTTTTGCCCAGGCCAGTCTGGATCACAATCCTATTTTGCAACTCCTGCTATTGCTTACATGACAGGTGTGTACAGCCATACCCAGCTTTTTTTGCATTGAGATGGAATCTCACCAACATTTTTTGCCCAGGCTGCCTGACACTGAAATCCTCCAGATTTCAGCCTCCCTCAGAGCTTGAAATGATGAGTATGTGGCACCCTATGCAGCTATTAGTTGAGATGGGGTCTTGCTAACTTTTTGCCCAGGCTGGACTTGAACAGGGATCCTCCCAATCTCTGCTTCCCAAGTAGCTAGCATTATAGGTGTGGGCCACTGGCGCCAGGCTCCATGGCGATGTTTAAATAAAGTTAACCAAACAAGCATGTTGTGCAGGAATAGATGAGACACCCACAGAGCACAATAAGGCACCAGGCAGATGTTGAGGGGGCTAAAACGAGACACCAGGCTTCAAGGGACGGGGACACACCACCTCAAGGACAGTCCTGATGTGTTTTATGTCAGAATGGAGCAGCCCTAATTTCGGCCGATAATGCTTTGGATACTGGTTATTTCTGTTCCGTGAATTTGAGTAAGTTCGGCAGGGCTGAACTTGGGAGGATAATTTGCCTCTAAATGTTAAGTATTTCAGCACTGTCTTCTACTTTACAGCAAGAATCTCACCCCGGGGAAATGGAGAGGAAATAGTGTTTTCCGAATGACCAATTGCAACAGCAAAACCTCCCCTAGGTTTTGCTGGGGAGCAAAAGCCAGCACACTTCAGTGCTTATAACTCCATGTCTTACTCAGTCAAATTCACTGGCTGGGGAGCGTGGAGTGAGGGAAGGAGGGGCTGTGATTACAGGGGCTGGGGGCAAGCAGAGCTGAAGGGGTGGAAGCTGCCCACACTGTCTGGAGCCCTCTTGGCGTGAGGGAGGCGGAGGGAGCCTGACTGGGAGGAGGAAGCAGGCAGGCATTAAACCACTGTAGCAGAGGAGGAAGCCCAGAAGAAAATACACTTGGCTGCTTCTTCCAGAAGCATTTAATGAGGTCAAAGATTATGTGGGAAACAGAGGTACTGGGTAGATTCCTGGCATTTTCTGATTTCAGACAGGGGTCAGGTATTGCGGATCAGTGAGTCTACAGGACAGCCCAGACCCTGGTCTGAATCTAGCCACAGGGCTGCACGGGAGGCTCTCACCATTAGCAGCTCGGCTCTGCGCATGGGCCGCTGACCCTTGACGTCCTCCTCTCTGCTCTGACTAGCTAGTGCTACTGGTTCTTCCCCTACTTACTCTTTAAGACTCACATCCTGTGTTAGAAAATTTCCTGGGAAAATCCATCTCTTCTTATATCCCATCTACTCAGCCGTTTACTGTGGCTCCATGACTGGGTTTGTAGCCTTGTCTGTTCCACAGGTAAATGCCTCAAGAGTTCCCAAGACCCTCGGGTTAGAACTATCTTACTTCGTGATCAGGATCACTCAAATTTCCCCTTGCCTAAACCAGGTTCCCAATTTTGCTGAGTATGAGCTTTAGTTGGGGTATGCCAGCCTCGGCCATAACTAGAACTTCCGTCCTTCAGGATTGATACCAGCTCTTACAGTGGGGGCAGGAACCCAAACTGGACTGGATTTTCATCCCAAGTCTGGTCCATTCCTGCAAAACTGCCACAAAGTATGCTCAAACCCTACAAAGTAAATGTTTTCTGAAATTCTTGTATTTTTCCTTTTGATTAATTCTAACTAAAAAACAATGTACACAAAAATAGGTTCTTTCATGGTATAGTTAGCCATAGTTAGCTGAATACCACAATTCATATGCACAATTTATATCAAATACAGCATAGTGGAATAAGTCTGAATGAAATCACTCAGGTTAAGCATTCCTCAAAAGATTAGCAAAAATCTATTCCAAATGAACACTTACAGAACAGGCATTAGGAGAGAAAGGGTATAAGCAAAGGTGAGTCCACACACTCAAGGCTGCATGCTACAAAACCTGGAGTTTCTGAAGGGAGGGTGCAAAAGATTTAAAGGGAACCAACCAACTTCTCCCTGGAAGATGAGAGAGTGGAGAGTCTGCCCTCGCCACTGTAGCTGGAATTCTAAGCACCAAAGGAGACATTTGTAAATGATCAGCACTTTGTACTATTGCAAAAGTACTGCCTATTCACCAGGCAAACATGGAACACCACAACCAAGCCAGCCATCAACAACCTGGAATGCGGCTTTACCCAAACAATCGGGCACAACTGCCACAGCCGAAATTCTTAGCAACTGGGGTCTAAGCTGTGTTTACATCAGTGCAATGTCCCTGTGAGGTGTGCAGCCATGTGGCTATCTAGCCAAATCTCATGCCAGGCTGACTATAACTTTCTAGTCTGAACTTCCCTATTGCATATCCACTTAGACAATTATAGTTATAGTTCTGTTTATTGCAAAATGTTTGGTCTTTCTTTGGCCCAGCACACCTGAGGACTCCAGCTCAGCCCCCAATGTGGGGAGATAAGTAGAGGCTGAGAGCCACCATCACAGAAGGAAAATGTCCTCGCAATAGGAGGGTGGACTTTAACAAGCCATCAGATCCAGTGGAGGATGGAGAAGAGAGCGACACAGAGAAGGAATAGGCTGGGATCAAATGACCACGGGTCTGCTCTGGTGACTGAGCTCTCCAGCTCCCCCAGGGAGGAAACTCATCAGTCCTGGGCGTTCTACTCCCACAAACACCAAGCTCAGCTCTCTCCTCCAGGTTCCCCCTCTATCCTCCTAGAGTTTCTGCTCTGGGATCTTCCCTTGCACGATTTAGACACAGGTTTATTCTTCAATCATTGCTCTTCCTGACTGCTTGCTCAATCAATTTCACATCCAGCCTCATTCTGTGAGCAGTTTTATAACCGGGTCTTTCATTTCTAGAGGCATTACCTTAATCGTAACTGTATCATGAAGCACACTTTTGCTGTCTTAAAGAAAAAACCAAGAGATTAAAATATATGTATAACACAGAGCTGGACGTCACCTGGTCCCACCACAGACATGTTGGCAGCTTAATGTTAGGGACATCATAGAGCGTAATACTGGGAGCAGCTGGACTGAAGAACTTTTTCTTGGCAGTACTGGGGCTGAACTTGCTAGGCAGCATGTGCGCTACACTTCTGTGTTGGTTATTTTTGAGACAGAGTCTCGCTTCATGTCCAGGTGGGCCTGGAAAGCACAACCATTCTATCTGTGCTTCCGAGTAGCTGGGATGACAGTGGCACATCCAGCCATTACTTGAGATGGAGTCTCTTTTTGCCCAGGCCGTGAACTGCTGTACTCCCAAACTCCATCTCCTGAGTCCCACCTGGCCGGGATTAAAGACCTTCTAAAGTAACTTCCATGATTGTGATCGATTATGGTAAAACAACATTTTAGGGGAAAAGCCACAAATTAGTCAATAAATTCCAATGAGCGTCTAGGGGTCCCCAGGAAGCCCTGAAGCTCTTGTCCCCTAAAAGCACATAGAGGAGTGCTGAGCAGTCAGCAAAACCAGCAGCACAGGGCATGTATAGGACAGACTGGACCATAGGCTCCTGTCCCTGGGGCACTGTGTACTTCCTTAAAGAAAGACCCTGCAGGCATCAATGTGAAGAGTGACAGAAGCAGGAGGCCAGAAACTGAGAGATTTCTAAAGTCTGAATTAGAAAAGCTTGTAAGAAGTATAATAAAAGGATATGCAACCCCAAACAGGCATGAAGGTTAAAGGAACCTGTTCTACCAGTTTGGGAAAGTTGAGGGTGTTGACTCAGTGTGTATGTGGGGGAGTTGAGGGGAGTTACCCATTTGAAGCCTGGAAATATCACTTAAGTGTATATATAATATCTTAACATAATTAAAATAAGTTTCACACAAGAAAATTTCTTACTAAAGAAAAGAAATGACAGTAAGAACAGGAAGGTTTTTAATCATTTAACCCAGAATAGACCTGTGTGGATCGTGTGGCTTAATTAAAAACATGTCCACATCAACCTTGTGAATTCCCCAGTGACCTTGCCCACTCCACTCCCTAACTCCCTTACTATGGCCCCCTTCTCTCTCCGTGGCTCCTGCCTCCCACTCTCAGCCGTGGGCATTCCAAATGTTGGATTTCAGTTCTCTTCTCTTCCTTTTTGTCTTTTGGAAAACACAGGCTTCCATACATGTGTCTTTAAGATAAACATTAAAACCACAAATGAAGACATGGAGAACTGTGAGAAAGGTTAGTCTTAAGTACTCGTGAAAGTACTGCAGACAAGAAAATAACAAAAGAGCTCATCTTGAATTCTAGAGATGTGAAGCTCGGTGATGCTCACCAGTGCTCTCCTTTTACTAACACCTAGAACGTTAGTCACGCTTAGAATGTCAGAATGTGCCAGGGAAAAAACAGGTCGATTAGAACATCAAACAGTGAGGAAGCCAAATTTAGCAATCTGTTTTAGAAGCTCTGAAGCAAACCTGCTTCAGTTCCAGGGCATGCATGTCTGCTATACTAACGCCAGATCTCCTACTCAGCGAATGCGATCCGTACAGTTCTCCATCATAACCATTCGTCTGTTTCAGTAAAGAACAGAGAAAAATTAGCAATGATGTCACAGGTACCAATCAGCAGAGGGAAATTAGCTGGTGGGGAGAAGAGACAGTACAGAATGGCACAAATCCTAGCAGTGCCCAGCTGCCCCCATTCCTCCTGTCCACACCACTGCATGCAGCTCAGGAGAAAGCAGTATGGTCAGGCTAGTCAAGTAGTTGGTTTAATGTCACGCGTTCCTTGTGGTCTTATGACCCCTGGCCTGGTGCAGCCACTTTCTGTGGCAGTTTCCCTATGTCCAGTCTTACAGGGAGTTGTAGACACTCCAGCTTTTGAAAAGGCTGGATGCCTGAGCAGTGGGTAGTGATCCCGCCTAAGCCAGCCTGAGTTCAGGCCTTGGTCCGGGTAGTCCTAGGAAATTACAGTCCAGATGAAGCTGTATTGGTAAGATTCAGAAATGGTTTCTGTTCCAGCTATAGTTAAATGCAAAGGTTCATCATGGAAGAAACATTTACCCGGGGCATGGCCTCTGGATCAGTTTTTCATTCCTCCAGTCTCCCTACTTTATTTTTCAAAATGAAGCCTGAGGACATATCTACTGACGCCACCATTTGTCCCCAAGGAAAAATAGAAAATGAGTATGCTAAGTGTTTGTCTGTCTCCCTTTTCTTAGCTCTTAAAGCCAAGGCTTGGGCTTTTCTAAGAATGCCCTAACCAACCTCATTCAGAAGAGAATCATCATGTCAGAGACAAACCGACCCCAGAGGAGCAGCTCACACACCTACTGCAGACAGAGGGACACACCACTGGGTCAGGGGCACGACCCCCAAATTGCAAATGGAAGCTCTTATCGTGTGACCTTGGGCCAGTCATCTCATCCACAGCCACTTCCTTGGCGGTGACAATGTGCTCGGTCATGTGTATGTGACAGGCCACTGTGAGGGCTGCCTGAGACTGAATAAGGCTCCCTAGCGCTCAACCAGGCCTCGGAGGCACCTGCCAGCAGAATGACGTGGGGAACACAGCAGAGGGAAGGAGCCTGGTTTGCAGGGGGACCTGGATAGGTCCTCACTCCATGGCAGTGAGGACTGCTTGGCATATACTTTATGGTTGTGACATTTAGTAGAACAAATGACTGAATTTCCAGACAGATGATAAATCCAGACTCATGACACCTTAAGGGTGAAACTACATATAGGGTTACTTTTGTTACAACTGAAAAAAAAATCAATTTGAAATTTATACAATGAAACAAGAGAGAATGCAGAAATTTGAAAACTATGAGTAACATCAGAACATCTCTGCAAAAGTGTAATAGCAAAAATCTTTGGAGATCAGCAGGAACCGTGCTGTTGTCAATTTCCTTCCGAATCTTCGCGGAGGCCATGTGACAGGAAATAAATGTAAGGGACATGCGTATTTCAGACCTCAATCTTACCCCCTTGCTCTTTTAAGACACTAGTTTCTGATAGAGATTAACAACAGTGTTGACTTTCAGATGACTTCACCAGTAAACTGGGAAGAAAAATGTCTGACACAGATGGCCCTCGGGCTTTTCCATGGTTGGTTATAAAATACTGGTGCTTTGGGCAAATTCCTCCAAATTCTTCCCATTCTCTGAGCCTGCAGCAATGGACAGAGAGAGAGAAGGTTGGGAGAACAAGTGCATGCTCTCATTTGCAGTCTTCTCTCTTCAAATCTTCCATGAAAAGACAGGGAAAACTTACTTTGAAAGCTCTGTGGACCATTCCCCTGGTCAGCTGTACTGGAGTTCTATGGTAAGGAATACATTCTTAGAACAAATTCCTGGGATGCCTCCCCAAACCTAAAGGATGCCCTTGACATCTCTGCAGTGAACAGAACTTTGACCTTTTTGCAGCACACCAACAGTCTTCTCTTGGGTACTGCTTTTATGTGACCTGTCCATGTGGGTGGGGCTGTTTGAATGGGCAGAAGAGGTTAGGAGGGGTGACAAGTAGCTGTCACAAAGTTAGAATATAAAGTCCATGAACAGCATATCATCTTCACCCGAAGCCAGGTCTCTGATGTTCATCTAGCTTTGTTCTACAGGATTCTGTTCTCAGCATTCCTTACGGTGACTTTTTAATGGTACCTATGCTTATGCACTTGGTATAGACTCCTGCACCATGACCACCTGGTGGCATGCTTCTCAGGAGCACAGGCCCCTGACCTAGGAACCTGCAATCCCTGGAAGGGGGCCCCAGAACAGGCACTTTCACAAGCAATCTGGGGAACCTTAGGTTGAGTAATGCCAAGAAACACTGCTGCAAGGGAGAGAAAAATAAAGAGAATGCTCACAAATCACAGCAGATACATAGACAGGAGAAAATTCTTAATCAAAATCTAGTGGTAACTTCTGACCAGTCAGGATCTGACCCCTGCCATGCAGCTCCCAAAGCATCAGCAGACTTCCCACACGACCGTGCAAAGTCAGGTGTCATTTTTCAGTAATAATGCTAGCCATCTATTTTTCTACATGAGTCACAGGACAGAGAACATGTAAGGGCATTAAAAATGAGAAGCCAAACAAGAAAGGGTAAAGCAAAGCTTGTGAGTAGAACACTTGCTGCATTCCAGTTAGCTTGACAAAAAATGACAATGAGAAGCAAAATCCAACATGTGTTCACACACAAATGACCACCAGAGACTTTGAGTTCGAAATACAAGGGTGACAATCTAGAAACAGGCTCAAATACACTGAATTCCTTAAAGAACAGAAGAATTGCTGGTTCTAGTTCTGCAAGAAGCGTGCTCTGTAGATAAGTGGCGAGCACTCCGTGAAGGAAGGCTGCGTCTGCAATCTCAGGACATGCCTTCTGCTTGCCTCTAGAGCTGCCTGGCCTAAGCCTCACCAGGCTAGGACGGCTGCAGTGGTCAGCATGAGCTTGGGCTGGGAGGCTGGGCTCTCAACTCTTCCTTCCAGTTGCCCCTTGGGACACCGAGGACCAAACATGCTAGGCAGATGCATGGTTCCACTTATTAATTATCACCACAAACAAGAAAACACATCTTAAAAACAGGAATTTGCCAAGTAATTTTAAATGTAGACTAAGAGAAGCACAAAAGGCTTTGAGGCCATAAGAACGTCAGTACCAAGTCACCTGAATGCTGACCTGCGCTTTCTGGTGAGATTAAATTTTTCTTCTTTCAAGTATTCAGTTTACAGGTTTCCAGAAAGCATAAGGCACAGACACGCTCATAGACATAGCGTAGTAATTCCAAGTTTGGCCAGGTGTGGGGACACACACCTACAATCCCAGCACTGGGGAGGCGAAGGCAGGAGGGATTTGAGTTCAAGGCCAGCCTGGGCTGCCTAGCTAGACTGTGTCTCAAAAACAAAACAATTTTAAGGTAAAAGCCTTTATTTTTGTTAGTGAAACTGGAGCCTTTCTCAAAGAGTATTTTCTGGCAGAAGAGCCAGACAGCATATTTAATTTGAATGACTAACGATTAGAAAATAATGGTTTTTGTAACTAGGTAAAATGACTTTACATTTAATCTTTCAAAGTAAATTTAGAGGCCTGGGGAATTCTTGACCCGATGTGGGTTCCTTGAGAGCAGGTTCCTACCTGTTTTGCCCTGGTGTGCACAGCTCCTCACACAGTGTGTGGCAAAAAGCTGGCTGTCTGCTGTAAAGAACCCATGTGCACACTGGGTCCAGGTTCCAGGGCCACCCAGGGGCCAGGAGGCTCTGGCAGGAAGGAAGTGCCCTGCGGCCCTGGCCTCACAGTCCCTGAGGTAAAGGCTGGCAGGTGGACCAGGATGTATTTGACTGTTTATAAAAGCCCCTGTGAGATTAGTGCAAACACTGTAGGTTATTATCCATGTGCCACACAGTTAATGTCACACAGAAAAGTTTACTCAGCCATCTCACCCAGGCGTAGGGACCCCCATACTCCAAGTTGGGCTGTGCCTGTCAGAATGAGATGAGAGAGGAAACAACAGAAAGGACAGTGGCAAAAATGAACTGAAGAACTCAGAAAGCATAAAATAAAACCAGGCAGTTGCCACATCTCAGCGTGACTTCTGGGATCTTACATACAGCTATAAAAAGAATTGCCACTGAGCGACAGCTACCATGAAATTGTAATTCATGAAACAAAACCATTTCATCAATCTTACTCCCCCTTCTTTACATAAAATATTATAAAAAATTAGGGAAAGGTTAACAGTTGTACCACCATCAGGTTATTTTTTTTTCTTTTATTATTCATATGTGCATACAAGGCTTGGTTCATTTCTCGCCCCTGCCCCCACCCCCTCCCTTACCACCCACTCCACCCCCCCACCCCACCCCCTCAATACCCAGCAGAAACTATTTTGCCCTTATTACTAATTTTGTTGAAGAGAGAGTATAAGAAATAACAGGAAGGAACAAGGGTTTTGCTGGTTGAGATAAGGATAGCTATACAGGGAGTTGACTCACATTGATTTCCTGTGCATGTGTGTTACCTTCTAGGTTAATTCTTTTTGATCTCACCTTTTCTCTAGTACCTGTTCCCCTTTTCCTATTGGCCTCAGTTGCATTTAAGGTATCTGCTTTAGTTTCTCTGTGTTAAGGGCAACAAATGCTAGCTAATTTTTTAGGTGTCTTACCTATCCTCATCCCTCCCTTGTGTGCTCTCGCTTCTATCATGTGCTCACCACCATCAGTTTTTAAATAAGGAAAAATGAAAACTTACGATATCTAGATTTTTCTGAGGGACCACTGTACAGACAGAGGAAAGCAAAACTTCCCTGGCTTCTTTAGGGTCTGTCTCATCGTTAGCTGCATGTAAAAGGCCAGTGTTTGGGGAGTAGGCGGAGGCAGGAGGGTCTTGAGTTCAAGGCCAGCCTGGGCTACCTAGCCAGACCTGGTCTCAAAAATGAAACAAAACAATTTTAAGTAAAAAGCCTTTATTTTTGTTAGTGGAACTGCAGTCTTTCTCAGTTCCACCGAGAAAAGAGTATTTTCTGGTGGAAGAGCCAGCCAGTGTATTTAACGTGAATGACTAAAGATTAGAGGTAAAGTCTGAGAAGTAAGTCTTATCTGAAAAATTTACAAATTGAAGACTTCAGAATATTAGAACACATTATCCCATGTAAGTTGGCCCTACACAGAGACAAGTGAAGGAGATTCTGGTCAGTAGGGTGGTCAGGTTGCCTTCACTGTCCCAACAAGCAAAGATCAGAGCTTTGTGGAAGGGGCACAGCCCACCAGGCCTCAGGGGAGCCAGAGCTGGTACTGCCACTAAGAACTGTGACCAAACAGTCCTGAGGTCACAGGTGGGCTTGTTCTGCTCCTGTGGGAATCAGGAGGTTTGACTCTCCTCTTTAAGATTCGAGTTCTCAAGTTCTTAGAGTCTATTTCTATTTTTTCCCTTTCTTTTTCTTCCCCTTCCCCCACCCCCACCCCTTTTTTTGTGTGTGTGCGGTACTAGGACTTGAACTTAAGACCTCAATCAGGTGCTGTACCACCTGAGCCATGCCCCCAGCATTTTTGCCCAGGGTTGGCCTGACCATGATCCTCTTATTTATGCTTCCCCTGCAGCTGGGATCACAGGTATACAGCACCAAGCCCAGGTTTTGGTTTTTTTTTTTTTGGTGGGACTGGGGTTTGAACTCTGGGCTTCATGCTTGCGAAGCAGGTGCTCTGAAGCCATGCCTCCAGTCCTGCCCAGCTTCTTATTGGTTGAGATGGGGTATCACAAACATTTTGCCCAGGGTGCTCTGGAACCTCAATCCTCCCGATCTCTGCCTCCTGAGTAGCTGAGATGACACGTGCGAGCCACTGTGCACAGCCTGTTTCAAATCAGCTCATCAAGGGAAAGAGTCAGGTAGCACTCTGACTGTGGACTTCCTATAGGAAACTTCGAACCTTAGAGCAAAAACACTGGCTATACAAAGGTGAGCACCTAGTAAGGAATCGAGCTTGTTTCTGGCTAAGGACATTGAAAGTGAAATGAAGGCCGACCAAACACCGCAAAACTCATTAGTACTGCAGTGGGCTCCAACCTTTAGGTCAGGACACCCTCCAAGAAACCTAAGTGCACACAATCTTTGTCCCATTTCAAAGGTCTGAAGATGGTACACTCTGACAGCGATTTGGGTTCTGTTCAGTCCCTCTCCTGTTCTCTCTCAACTCCCTCTGTATTAATCAGGTTTGCTCTCACCATTTCTATCAAAAGTGCTCTTGGCAAAGTCACTGATGTCCCCGGGATGCTAAATCCAATGGGCAGTCACTCCCCTGGTCCCTGAAGCCACATTTCCTTTACTTGGTTGGCCTCGAGGGGTGGCCGACTGGACATCTGGGACAACTGTGCCTGGCTACAGCTGTTGCAAACTGAGCTTTGCATTCAGGATGTGTGGGTTTCCTAAGTCTTCCTTCCTCTGGAGGGAACTGTGTCAGGGGACCGTGAGGAAGTTACGACCACATCATCCAGGCTACGCCACCCAGGAGAAAGCTCCCAAGGCCAGGTGGCACTTCAATCTCTTCACATGGTAACTGTAATTGTCCAGCAAAATCACATGGGACCTGCTTTTGTCCCCGCAAGCATATGGCCATGGCAGAAGGGTCAAACCTCAGGACAATGGTCTACTTCAGCACCCATTACTGTCAGCGGCCAAGGTGAACGCACACTCGGTGCGTCACAGTGAGTCAAGAAGTGACGGGCTGACCTCGTTGTCGCTGAAGAAAACCAGCCCTCAGCTCTAGACGTCCATTAGTAGAACAGAGTGGCTGCAATTTCAACCCTGTGGTGGACGAAACTGATGTGCTCGGATTACTTTGCTAAGTCGAAACACTAAGGAAAACACAATTTCCCTTCTTGCTTCTCAGAGCACACGATTTCAAGTACAGTTATGAAGATTTTTGGAGTGTTTAAGGAAAGATATATTTGTGCTTATTAGCCATTAAATTCTCAGTAAAGAAGAGATTTCATGAGAGTTCATAAAAAGAAAGGTCCCTGAGGGTGGACCCAGGCCTGACCCCTTTCCACCAGGCAGCCTCCATGTGCTACCTGCAAGCCCCAGCGAGTGATCACCAAGGTACGGCCACTTTCACTGAGACTCCTGTTTTACTGGGAGGGTGTGTGTGTTAGCGGGCACTCAGACTGGCAGAGAGATACTATGTGCCTCTCCATTCCTGTCCAGCACACCAGCAATGCTGGGGACAACTGTCAGTCAAGGTTCGGCAGTTTTATCATATGGAAAAAATATTAAAAATGACTTCTACTCTTAGGGAAACACAACAATCGAAGTGCCTGTGCGTATTAATAATCTGTGTAGGACAACAAAGACCACCACCCCAATGCCTGATTAGATTTTAAATAAGTATTTCATCAGTTAGACATTGCCCATCAGACAACAGGATGATGGGTGAGAGATGGGAACACACGCCGTGCCATGCAGACTCAATCACTCCGGTACTAACCCTCAGACTGCCACGACTACCCACTGACACACGCTCATCTTCATCAGAAGCCTATTGAAAGAAAGGACGAGAATAAATGTGAAGTGACACCATAAAGAAACCAGTGCTCAAATCTCAGAGGGACTGGCTGGTCCGACCCCACAGTAGTAGGGTGGGCCAGACACTGCCCAAGAGCTCAGGGAACAAGGCTCAGGTCCTCAGCACATGGGCTTTGTATGCCTATTTGCCTAGGACTGTTTATGGAAACATGGACTTAAATTAATTTGATTAATTATAAGTAACTTATAGACAAGTTGTAAATAAACCTCAGTGTATATTGCTATGCAAATTGTTCATGGGTAATTCAGTAGCATAAAAAGCACTGAAAGTGTCATGAGTGTATTAATATTCAGAAAATCTCCCAAACCCACTCTTCTCACTGAGTTTAGGTCAAAATGCTGATGACTGAGCTCACATTCTTTGTTGAGGCAATAACATCTGTATTCGTAGAGTTCTCTCATAAACACCAAATATAGTTTAGGCACTAAAATAACAAATTAGACTTCTATCAAAATGCCCAGGTAATGAATGAACAGGGTACTAACCGATGTGTTCCTTCTGGATCTGCGCGAGTAGCGCTCACTGTCTTCCTACCAAAGCAACAGGGAGACGGTATAAAGAGGTTAGAGACAGGCAGAGCAGAGTGCTTTAAAAAGCCGTGGACAGCCCCGAGGCAACAGAATACAAAACTCCTGATCTAAATGTCAAATGAATATTTTCTTTGCTTCTGTTTAAAGCCTTCAACTAAACCCCACGGGAAATGCCTTCTTCTATGGGAGGTTCTTAAGCACACAAATAACTGGCATATTTCATGGCTTGAAAAACAGAGAGAAGGCAGAGAGGCGAAAGCTAGGTCTTATTTTTCTCTAACCTCTATAATCTGGTCCAGTTAAATCAACCTGCTTTTCCCCTTACACTTAGAACCTTGTTCTCTATTTTTGGGAATCAAAAGATAAATCATTTCCATTTAAAAGAAAAACAACAACAAAAAACCCCAGTAAGGATGTCATCCTACCTACCCTAGCTTGAGGATCCTAAAACATAGGGTTTTACACTCTGATGTTAGGGCATGACTTGTGGTCAAAATTGGCTGCAGTTACAATTAGCAACTCTCTCTTTCTCAGAAGTATGTAAAATGGTAGCACGCCTTTAATTGTCTTAAGAGTTTATAATATTACATGTGCTTAAATGAAACAAGATAAACTGAAGGCTCACACAGGTTGAGCTTGGTCACTTTTCCAATAGAGGAAGTGTGTGCTCTTCCTAGTTTCAATGGGGAACTATGTGTTCTTTTTTTATATCACATGCAATATCTAAGATGACAGTCTTAGATGACTTAGGTGACAGTCTTGTTTTATGCATAGGAACACTGAACAGGACATTGGCACCCTGGCCAGGTCCTCTGGTGCTGAAAGCACATGACAGTGTCCCTGGGGCCAGCTAGTGGAATGGCAGTGGGACAGAAAGAGATTGGGGAATTAGTGAGAAGAGGGAAGCCCTGCTCTGGGAGCCAGTGGAAAGTACCAGAAGGTGCCCCTCCCGAAGCCTCCCCACATGGGCATCTGGGGGCCAGCTAGCTCTCAACTGACCTGGGAAGGCAGAAGGTTGTTCTAGGAAATGGTGGAGATGGTGAAGGAAATTTCTCACTAAGGAGCAGTGGCTTCAGTGGGCATGGGTGAGCCGAGAACCCAACAGTGAAGATGATAAAGGTGGAATGGGGGTGACAGGGCAGCTGGCTGCAGTCCTAAGGAAGGAAATGGAGCCAAGGCCCCTTCTGGCTCCAACTAGAACATAACAAGACATTATGGTAACCTAAGGTTGTCTGGAAAGTTCTCACTCCATTGGGCACAGGCCCAGCCTGAGTACCTAGTAGAAATCTTCTGACCCAGGAAACTGGGGAGGCAGGAAACTGGCGGAACCCTACAAACTGCTAGCCTGCAGATGTCAGCCAGCAGCTACAGAGCAGACAGGACACATGCCTGGCCAGGGAATTTCTTAGCAGGCTGCGCGAGGGGATGTAAACAGTCTGAGACCAGATGCAGAGCTGCCCAGAAGAAAACCTCTCAGGATCAAATTACAGTGCAATAGGAAATCTATCTACATACCCAAACTGCATAAGAATTAAATTATAAGCCACTTAAGTCTTAAAATTGTATGCAATGCCTACCATCCATTGCTCGATGTCACCCCATTTTGTATCCAGCCCATAATATTTCTACAGACAGAAGGGAAAGAAAATTAGGCAAGAAGTGACATGGGCAAGGCACAAGAAACTGATCTAACATGCATTTCCCACCTGTGCCCAAGCCACACTGTGGAGGTAGCATGCCAGGGAAAGCAGTCCCAGCTTGGTGGCGTCTGCAGAGGAAGTCCCGCCCACGCAGCCCTGCAGGTTGAGCCTGTGGAGAGACTCCCTGCCAACCCACTCCACCCCTGCAGGCCCAGGGAGCTCAGAACAAAGCCTTCCTGGGCCAGGGTGGCTGCAAAGGTGAACCTAGTATAGAAGCATTGCAAGCCTCTCTGTAAAGCTGTTCATGCCTCTACAGCAAATGCGCTGAAGGACTAAGCACTGTTTAGGGGAAGCAGAAGCCAAGAGCCATTCCGTGTTGTTGCCCCAGGAAGTAGGAAACCCAGAGTAAAGGGGAGAAGTTCTGTGCTGATGAGGATTTGCAGTCTGCGTGCTCCAGACATCTGACCTGAGGGCAGGCCCGAGAACTCCTTTGGATGAGACATCCTTTGGATGTACTTCTGGCCTGCTATGGATGGAAAGATGCCCGCAGCCTGCACAGGAGGCCTTTGGGCAGGAAGAGAAATATGCACATCTGCAAGTTATGTGTGGGGTTATTGTGGTTAAGCTCCATGTTTTTTACCTTGGCAGTCTAAACCACCATGGTCCAAATTAGACTTAAAAAAGCAGGTTCGGAATGGCTGTTACTAAATACAGTAGCCCCAGAGTCAGGCAGGAACCTGGGCAATAGAGTCAAATTACAGGCTTTGCTTTTCTCCTTACTTCCCCCTCAAATTCCAGTAAGAAAATCAAGAAACAGCCAACCAAACTCCATGTCACAAAATATAGATGTGGCTTTTCTCTTCAACACTATACTCGCATGACCAGAAGGAAAAGATCAGATGCTAGAAGTACAAGGTAATTTCTGAAACATGCTGCTGCTGTTTGGTTTGGTTTCATGGTGCAGGGTGGCCAGAGCTAAGATGCACGGCTACTGGACGGCCTTTGCCCTTTCTCTTACAGATGGTGGTAAGGAAAAAGTTGGAAGATGAGATCTGGGAGGCAGAACTTAACAACACTTGGAAGGCAGCAATAGCGAACTCTAATACAAAAAGCCACAGGAGCCACATATTTTTCTCGATTTCCCTAGACTATAAATTCAGAAAGTATTTTAAATCCAATTTCAGTGAAAGCATCAGCATAAGGCTATTTTGCATCTCGTTGAGGTAGCTCCACCTTTACTATCAACTTCCAGATTTTGCCTGGGTAAAATAATGCCTTCTCTCATTTATCTTAATCTCTTTTATTTTACTTACAAACATATATTTTTTTAAAAAAGAAGACTGATATATATTCACAATAAAGTTATTTAAATTCCGAAAGAAGTCTATATTGCAGGTTTTTCTGGTTTCATATATTTCCTTTTGTCCCGTTCTATGCCTCTGACAATGTCAACATGATAAAAATGGGAAAGGAACTCAAACTCTTTCAACTAGCTCCTGGTCTTATAAACAGCACTGTAGCTCCAGCCACCTTCCCATGCCCTGATCCCCGGGGCCCAGCCACAACCCAGGGATGCCCAGTGGTCAGTGCTCACTGTGGCCCCAGCCTGAGCCAGCAACATCAGCAGAGCAGCCTGTGCAAGGGCCAAGAATGTCAAATGTAAACACTGCAATTAGTGATTAGCCATGAGTCACGCAGAGGGAGCGGGAGCCGGACTGATGCGGGAGGCTCCACTTTCAGAAACAACTTTGCTTCCAGAGAAACCATTCGGCCCAGCAGCCATCTGGGCTGGGGAGAGTGCTGACTGTGACTGCCTCCTTTTCCTCATCGTGAACCTGAGGGGTAAAAGTGTGTCCCTTGGCACAACTGTGCCTGTGCTCCTGGCTGTGGACTTCTGGAGTTCCTCCAGCTGTGCATCATATACTAGACTCCATTCTCAGGTTCTCACCACACATCCCAGGTGCACAAGCAAAAATCCAACAGTGACGCAGGACAGGAAAGGAAAGGATGCGAGTAGAAATGACCAAATCAAGCCCCTTTCTTGGGTTTGGGACAGGAAAATCCTGCGGTGAGGGCTTCCCAGCCTTCCCTTGAACCTGTCAAATTCTTCCTGGACTCTAAGGATGGTTTGGAACTCTGGCTTCAGTACCCATTTCCATACTGGACCCTAGGAAAACTCAGAGAGTACACAGAGGTGCTGGTGTCTCCTGATGGACATCTCTGCCCTCTTCAAGAGCGTAGATCTGCAGCATGGAGGGCAGGACGGCAGGACAGAAAGACTATCCAGAGTTGAGAGTACAGGATTCCAACATGTTAGGGCTCGCAGACTTGCCGATGACATGTTTAAGGTGCTCTAACCTTGAGATTTTGTGACCTTATTATTCTAGTGATCTCAGCTGCTCTAAGAGAAAGGTACAGTTGCTCTTTATCTAAAGACTAAACAAACTTAGAAAAAGAAACTACTGCTGATGTCATAAGTGACACCCTAAACTTATCCGCTGGGCAGTCTCAATGTACACAAATCCCACAGACTCTCAGGGGGTCAGTGCCTCCTTTCTGCTTTGTTGCTGAACCCTGAGCCACTGACGTGGTTGTCTCTGCATTTTTCTGGATCTGGTCTGCTTGGTGCACTCACTTCTAAACTTCAGCTCTCCCTGCAGAGCATCAGGGACAGAGACTCCTGTTGGTCTCAATGCTGGGGATTGATTGAGGGCGGGCTTATTTTAAATTGGTGGATTTGATTTATATCTTTGTTTTCTCTTTGCTCATTTAAAAAAAATCAGTATCTAATAATTTCTTAATGAGTGGTCATTTACATTGCTATTTTTAAGGTTTTCTAATAAGGTTATCTGGAAAGATAATCTTTCTCTTTCAATATATGATTTCAAAAGGTTCCTCAAATTCTGAAATGTGATTTGGTATTAAAATTCGTTTTTTTCTTGAAGAGATGACTTTTTAATTCTTGGAGGAAAAAGGAGGCAAGAGAAGTGTTCAGTGCACACTGCTGGTTTCTGTGGTGGACAGGTGGACAGAGGCCTTACTGACACAAATAGCAGTGAGACTGCTTATGTGTCTTCAATGCAAAGTGTTGTTTCTGAAAGGTGACCAGACCTTGGCAAGGAAACAAAACAACAAAAACCCCCACTACATGCAAATTAGAAAAGTAAACAAGCCTACCTTTTGAACCTGATAGATCTACAGAGAAGAACAAAAGAAAACAGGAAGGAAACAGAAAATCAATTAAGGCAGCAGGAACCGCAGGAGAAAGACTCTGTAAATAATCAGAAATATGAGTAAAAGCCATATGGGGAAAAAATGATGACTACCGGTAAAATATGAACAAAAATGTGTGAAGTCTCATTGAAAGTGTCATTTCATCACTCACCTTACATTGATTTAGATATTCTGGTGAAACAGGGCACCCCACACAAACCTCTACTAGAATCCCAGTTATTCTAATGCACAAGTGTGAATAACCTATTGTTGCCATTAGTGGGAAATAGCAATGCTAATTTCTTTTCATAGTAATAAAGTTTAATGAAAAAGCACAGAAACGTAACTGTCAACTCACAAATAGTGTAGAAAGAGGCTTTGATGCTCTGATCCATGCAGACACATACAGACTACCAGGAAATTCCCCCAAAACACAGTGATGGTTAGAATGTAACTGAAATATTTAAAGAAGCTATAGGAGAACCTAGACAATGGCAAAAGTGTGTACCTCTCTCACTGTCATGGACAAACCTGGTTTGCTTCAGGGGCTTCTCCTAATCTCATTGTAAGTATAAGGCACGCTCATTTGCACTATTCAACAAATCACGTAGAAATGCTATGGTTCTAGTCCTACGTGGGAGATCCCAGGTTAATATACCCAACATCATGACTCATAAACACAGCACTTCCTGCCAAAGGTTTGTCAAGTCAATCACAACAAGAAAGAAACACGCTGATCCCCATCTTTTTCTATCATGAGGTTCTCCTACGAAGTTCGAGGTCACCTGGGATTTGCAAAGAATGTCTGCACCTTATTCTCCCCTAGTGAATCCATTTAAAAGGAGTTCGCATCCTTTCAAACAGCCCATTGCACTGCTGATAGAGCCATTAGGGAGGCTCAGGGGGCTGGAGCAGCCTGGCTGGATAAAGTTCAGGCCCTGAGGCTTGATGACAGACCTGCACCCCAATACCACTCCCCTCACCACCTCTCTGCATACTCTGCAAGCTCTCCCAGGGGTCCCAACTCTGGCCACCAGCTTGCCACCCTCTTTAGCCCCACCCCAGGTAGACTCAGCCCTGGGGGCCCATGGCAGATCAGACCTCTTCCTCAAGGAAGCCAGGCCTGCTGGACAGCACTGTGTGCACGAGAAAACAGGGATCGAGTTTCTCAATTCTTGCACCAAAGTACCAGCCGTGCTGGTTAAACACCAGTCTTCCAAACCATATTCAGTTCCCCTTAATCAACAACTTCAAATGCCAGTGCCTGGGCCATCAGATGGGTGAGCTCAAACAGTGCTTGCTGCTTCTATTAATAGCCAGGCCAGGAGAAGATGTGCACAGCAACCTGCAAGGAGCTGTGGATGTCAGGCTGCAGGCTCAGGCTGTTAGGCACACCCCTCATTAACATGTCCACGTGTGGACAAACACGGGCACGTGTGCACACACAGCACAGACCAAGGACAGCTGCTTCTGCAGCGCCTGACAGTGTCGATTCTGTGTTTGAGGGGCTGCGCCTGGGATCTGGCACCTGGGAGACACTTGGCCTGTTTCCACTCGGAAAATGGCGAGGCCTTCCTCTGTTTCCCCTTTGCTATGGGTGCCTGCGTGCTGGAAGGTAAACTTCCATCAAGAATTTTTGCAGGAGCATTTTGTAGCAAGTTGCTTAAATCATTATGCATATATGTAAATCGTTCTTATTCACAATTAAGGAGAGAATAAATTTTATCTAAGTGTATAATTAGGAAGATAGGCATGTATATACATATGATGAAATTCACTGTCACCTTGCTTTTGTGGAAATTTCACGCTTGGCGTTTGGGTAAAAGCTGCTTAGGACATGATTACTAACTCGGGCCTGAATACCTCCCCTTGCAAGGAAGTGGGGAGGGGAGGTGCTCCAGTTAAACCAGGGCCTTGGATGTTGCCGTGCAACTGGAAAGTCCAAATAATTAACAGAAAAATTCAGGAGTTTAAAATTCATGGTAAATCTTCCCGCTTAAAATGATAAAAGTGATTTGTAGGGGACCAGTGCTAGGAAAATGCTAACTTTGTGCTTCTCTGGGTGAAGGAAGAGAAAATGCACAAAAATGTTTTCAAGTTCTAAATTCTAAAAGCAAAATAACATAAAAACTAGAGCTAATGTACAACTTTGTGCTTACCACCAGGAGGGAAGACGTGGTGGGCTACCTTCAAATACTGGCTGAGTTTTCTGCACACGCAAACCCAGGACAGGCACTGCTCAGACACAGGAGAACTGTGTTGCTGGCCAGCCAGGAGGGTCACTTCCAGTCACTGAAGGAGAGTGGCCTGGCCTGTCTCTAAGAAGCCATGTCCCCGTTGTCCCCAGCACTGTGGGGACTGGCCTGCAGCTCACCTTCCCCTCCATCAGGACTGTGGTCTGACTCTCTTGACTGACCCCTTGGGCTGGGGTTCCCGGTACTCTGTGACTATTCTCATGCCACCTGGATGAGCATTCTCACCAAGTCAAGCCTGGCCACACCCCTCTTCTGCTTACACATCCCCTGGAGTGACAGTGAGCACCTCGGGCTGGTGGCCAGCCAGTCCTACAGGGAGCATGGCCAGCTTGGTCCTTGCTGGAAAGTGATAAGAAAAGAAACTGGAAACCCAGATTTTCATCTGAAATCTCAAGTGTTGAATATTGGTTACATGAGCTAAATCAGGACATCAGCCCTCTGCCAACATAACACATTCAAACCTTCCTAACGGGAAAAGCCACTCAGGGTGGGCTTGGAGTAGATGGTTCCACGTTGTCTTAAAAGCATGGAAAAGCTTGCCACCCAACATGAGCTCAAGAGCCCGCAGGCTTGTCAGAAATGGCTCCTGGCTCCTGGCCCCTGCTTGAGATTTTGAAAACCAGCAGCAAACAACCTGGACTGTCGCTCAGCCCAGGAGGCAGTTTCTTCCATAGTTACTTCACCCACGATGTTTATTCTGTTCTCTGTGTCACTGTTCAACACTGTGAAAATCTCAGGGAAAATATTTTTTAAATGAAACAAGTCAGCCAGTTTAAAAAAAAAAAAATCCACCTGTTCTTCCCTGTTTTAATTCAGACTAGACTTCGGTCAACAGGCCCTGAAGCTCAGACCCAGCACCTTTTGGCTCCTCAGCCACAAAGCTGGACTCAGGAGATCTCTGCAGACCCATATCGGCTATGTGCACCCCCGGCCTGACCTTGACCAAAAGCCACACATGCAAACATATTCCACCCAGGAGCAACGTGAAGAGGACAGGTACGTCTGCATTTGCACACTGTGCTGAAAATTAAACCTACTGTGGAAAGAACCAACCGAGGGCCCCCCGGGTTACCTCCTTCTGCTGCCGCTCCAGCTCCTTCATTCGGATGTCTCGAGCCTCCGCCCGGGCTGCTCGCTTCGCAGCAAGCCTGGCCTCCGCCTGAAACACACCGGAAATCATGTTAGGAAACAGAGCAGCTGGCCCTCCGGGTAGATGGTTAACGATGCTGTCAGGAGAAAATCTTGTTTAGGATTTAATGAACATAAGGCAATGAATCACAGACTTGTAGGAATTACAACGGCACTGGTGAAACAGCCATTGAGCATTCAGTAGTCCCCTTATCCATGGCTTCACTTTCTGTGGGTTCGGTTAGTTACCTGTGGCCCACTAAGGTTCAAAAACACTAAATGGGACAGGTGCCAGTGGCTCATGCCTGTCATCCTACATACTCAGGAGGCAGAGATCAGGAGGATGGAAGTTCAAAGCAAGCCTGGGCAAATAGTTTGTGAGACCCTATCTAAAAAAAAAGAGCTGAGGAGTGGCTCAAGATGTAGGCCCTGAGTTCGAACTCCAGTACCACTAGGTAGCCCGAGTAGATCTTGAACTTGTTATTGTAGCCCAGACTGGCCTTGAACTCTTGATTCTTTTGCTTCAGGCCCCCTAGTGCTAGGGTTACAGAGGTGAGCCACCACACCTGGCCCTGATTTCTTTCTAAATTCCAAATTGAGTATTGACCTGTCACAGAGGCTGGCTCATGTATGACCTCATCTATAACAGGTTTCATTCCTGTGTTTTCTTAATGAATCTAGCCAGGGTGTTTCAAATCAAGTAGTGTCAAAAATCAAAACTGGAGCTGGGGCGTGACTCAGTGGTAGAGTGCTCACTTGACAATGCAAAGCCCTAGGTGGGTTCCATTCCCAACACTGAAAAAAATAGAATCCCAGATACATGGGAACTCTGATACTTCATTGCCTCTTCTGAAGATTCCAGACCACATGCACCTGTTAAAGGGCCTCTCAAGGCCTGAAAAAGATCCCAGCGCTGGAGAAGGGGGGAGAAGAAGGCTCCTCAGGTTGTCATCACCCATACACTATAATCCAGCCATAGGCCAGTCAAATGACACCGTCCACAACAAGTGCAGCCACTTCCCCAGCGCTTGGGTTGGGAGGCACAGGACTCGGCTTGGTGCCTGCTGGCTCCTTTCTGGACTGACATAGACTGGACAAGAGTTTTGACAGCAGCCTTGGCCCATGAGCGTGGGTGGGGAGGAGTAGGGAGGGAGATAGGGGAAAGAAAGGGGAGGAGAGGAGTAAGAATACAAGGAAGAGGAAAGGCTGGAAGGACAGGGCCACCAGAGAGGGCAGAGGGAGAAAGTTGTGTAGTCTGCAGAGTTCTAGGACAATCCCCAAGAATCTCGTCCTCCTGGTGTGGACACCCTGTATGGACCTTCCCCTGGAGTGTGGGCCAGTCAGTGAATATGATGACATTACTCCTGTGGTTATGTTACATTGTGTGGCAAAGAGAAGAAACATATAAATAACCCAGGTGCTTTATCAGCTGACTGAGTTAAGCAAAGAGGAACTGCTTGGTGGCCTGCCCCAATCAAGCAAGCCCTCTAAAAGAAGAGTCAAGAGGTCGGAGAAAGCCTTTTGCTAGTCTTGAGAAAGCTATCACATGGGAGAAGCTTATGAAGGGGTCTAAGTGCAGGTGACAGCCATCAGAAACAGGGGACCTCAGTCCTATAACTCTAAGGACCTGAACTCTGCCAACCACCAGGTGGGCTTTGGAAGAGGACTCTGACCTCCAGAAAGACCCCAGGCTGGCTGACACCAAGTGTCACCAAATGAGGCCCAGAGAGCGACCAAGAAGGCTGGGCCACACTCCTGACCCTAGGAGGGTCACAGATGGGCACTCTTCTAAGCCGTGAGTCTCTGGGTATTTGTTACACATTAGTCGATGATCAGTAAGAGGTGCGGTCTGAGATGACCCCTGCCCCACAGTGCCAGCCTCCTGGGAACTGGGGGGAGTCGGGCACCTGCACAGTTCTTCCCCCTGCCTCCCCGTGCCAGCCTGCCCATCTGGTTCCCTGTGCCACCTGGTCATGTGCACCTACTACCTGGAGGCTCCCCTCAGAACGGGGTTCCCATCACGGTCCACTTCAACCTAACACGCCTGCCCTGTTCTTGAGGGTAGTGGTGCTGAAAGACTAAAATCCAGCAGCCCTGCCTGGAGGGCCTGGCCCCAGATTGATAAAGGAGCCCCATGAATGAAGCCAGTTATGGAACAGGTTATATATGAGGACACAAGCAAGCTGATCCTCCTCCCCTCACACAGGTACACTGTGCTGACTGTCACCTTAGATAAGAATTTAGAAAGGAGATCAATTTGTAATTCATTATCATTTCAGATCCTTGCAGACACCACCATGTAAAGCACGTATAACTTTCACATGACTCATCTATGGAGACAAAGGGCTCGTAATACAGGAAGTGGTGACAATCATCTTGTTCCCTGGAATCTGCCAACTAAAACTCAACAGACACACGAGCCCAACACTGAAACTGGTCCAACACCTATGAGTGGCCTGTGCACGTCTTCATGAGCACAAAACTCAACTTGTCACATAGCTCTTGACACTTGCTTGAGATGCCCCAAAGAATCATAGAGAGCAGGTGTAGTGGTTCATGCCTGTAATCCCAGCTACTTGGGAGGAAGAGGTAGAAAAATCATGGTCCTAGCAAAAGCATGATATCCTATCTGAAAAGCAAACTGAAACCAAAAGGACTGGGGGCATGGTTCAAGTGGTAGAGCCCTTGTCTAGATGAGCACAAGGCCCCAAGTTCAATCCCCAGTACCACCAAAAAAAAAAAAAAAAAAGAAAAGAAAAAAGTAGGGTTCCAGTGGCTCATGCCTATAACCCTAGCTACTCAAGAGGCAGAGATGAGGAGGATCACAGTTCAAAGCCAGCCTAGGCAAATAGTTTGTGAGACCCTATCTCAAAAAAAACCTATCACAAAAAAAGGGCTGGTAGAGTGGCTCAAGGTGTAGGCTCTGAGTTCAAACCCCAGTACTGCAAAAAACCAAAAAATAAAAATTGTACAGAGCTTCAATACAGTTCACTCTATTCAGAGACGGCAGTGGATCAGAGTACAGCCACTGTGACATCACCAGGGAAAGTGCTGGACTAAGCCATTAAATAAAAAGTACCAAGCAGCTGAGGTCCATCATGGCCACAAACTCTAGTCTGCTTTCCTCCACGTTCAGCATGAAGCCCAGGCCTGCTCTCAAGGTGCCAAATGTCCGGGCGAGAGTCCTCTGGGCTGGGGTGTCTTAGGCCAGTGCCCTGGTGGGGCAGAAAGAGCCTTCCTGGATCCATGCTTTTGTGAAACACAAAACTGCATGCTTGAGGTCACAGTGTGTCAGACTGCATTAACAGTTTACAAATGTGTCCTTTCACTTTCTGTACTCAGCTTGTAGGGAACCAAGGACAGCTTCCTGACCATCACCAACCAGCAGGGACCACACGAGCTCACACAGCACTACTGTCTGGGACAGCCAGGGCAGTTTGGGTCCCCAGTCACCAGTGACACAGGCAAAGGCATGGGAGACATGGAATAAAGGGGAGGAAAGTGAGGGGGGGCTGCTCTCAGGGAGAGCTCTGCCCACTCCAAAAGCCAAGGAAGGCTGGGGTCTTGCCAGATCTGAGCCTAAGCTGAACCCTGAGTAAAGTGCAGAGAGCCAGGGCTGGGGGCTGGGGCAATGAGGGGCCCCGAAGGCTGGAGGGCCTGGGCTTTAGGCTCTGGCTTTCAGTTTCTTTATCTGGAATCTAAGATGCAGAATTCTAAGGAATTCAGAACGGCTGAGGCTTTTAAGCGAGAACACAGCATGCTTGGGAGACAGAGGTAGATGGGTCACAAGTTCAAGACCAGTCTGGACTACATATTGAGACCCTGTCTCAACAAACCAAAACCTCTAAAAAAAGAAAACTACCCTGGCAGCAGGGACTGGGACGGAGAGGACCACGTGAGCGACTTCAGAGCCTGCCTCTGCACGCGGGCTGGCAGAACTGCACTCGAAGATCAAGCTTGAGTTAGCTTAAGGCTACAGGGCACAGCAGTGAGGGAGAAAGACACTGGAGGGAAAGTCAGAAGCCCAAAGGCCAGGGGAGTCTTGGAGAAGAACCTGCCACCTCTGCCAGGCCCGAGGCTGTGGTACCAGATGCTGATGTATGCCTGAGCTTTCTCACACATGCTGCATATGGATGCCTGCTAGCCTCAAGGGCCTGGGCGACTCCGAAGTCAGAGGATGCCCTAGATTATCCCCTCTCCAACTCCCCCGCCTCGTGGGAGAAGACAGCGACCAAATGAGCTGCAAGGATAGAACATATAAGAAAAAATAGGTAGAGGTATGGAATTTAGGATACAGAGCACAAACTGCATAGCGCTTCAAAAAAAAAAAAAAAGTTAGAAGACAAGACTGCACAAGCTCCTAACACTCCCACATATCCTGTCCCTTGAAGTCTCTCCTTAGCTCCCATGGTGCCTGGAAACCCCCTCTGTGGACTGACTGACAACAGCATTCCTTCTCTGCCACCTCGGGGCACTCTCAGCAACAGCTCTGACTCCAGCAGCTTCCTGGCTCAGCCCTCAGTGTGCACCTGGCCCCATGTGCTCCCTTCCCAGGGAGAGGTGGCCCAGCGTGGTGGCACTCAGGATCTTGGGAAGCCTTCTGCTCTTCCCAAGGCCCAATTGCCACCCCCCATACACACACACACACACACACACACACACACACACACACACACACACACACACATGATGGGATCCTCAGAGGTTGGGTCTGAACCCTGAGGTCGGAGCTCCTGACTAACCCAACACAATCCCATCTTTGCTGAGGGACATCTGGAGCATTTAAGGATGAAATGGTATGATCTCTCTCATAGGTCTTAAGTAACCTGGGTGTGGGAGTGGGGGAGGATGGAAATGGCTCTAAGTGGATGAACATTGTCGGGGGGAGAGGGAGGGAGATATGTGGCTCTTTAAACCAGGGGCTCGCCTATAATCCTGGCTACTCAGGAAGCAGGGATCAGAAGGATGAGGTTCCAGGCCAGCCCTGAGCAAACAGTTCTTGAGACCCTATCTTGAAAAAAGGGCTGGTGG